CACACTGCATGTACTCATTCACACTCCACACCACGTGTACACACACACACACACACTGCATGTACTCATTCACACTCCACACCACGTGTACACAATGTACACACCACACAGGTGTACATCACACATACCTCATATACTACATACCACACACATGTGCACACACATGTACACACATACACCCACACTACACACACATACACCACACAGTGCACACACACTACATACTCCACACCCCCTGCACGCACATGTATACACACACCCTGCACACGCACACACACACACACCCTGCCAGCTCCCAGGTTCCAAAGTTCCTGGCGCACCTGCGAAGCCGTTTGGTGCTTGCTCTGAGTGGAGGTCCCGCTGCTGCGAGGTGAGTGGCCCGGGGTCCGAGGGTGGACGCCGCCCCAGAGGTTGGGTGCCCACCCTGCTCGCGGACATTGCACCGGGGGCCCGGGTCAGGCCAGGGCTCAGGGAGCAGAGCTGTGGGGGCGCCCTTGCGGCTTGCTGGGGTGCGTGATTACGGCCCGCGCCAGGGCTCAGGGACCGCGGGAGCCCCGGGGCCTGTGCCACAGCCACACCTGGTTTCCCGATGTGCAGGGTTCACTGCCTGGATTCAGGCCCCGCTTTCACAAAGCCCCCTCCCTGGTCTGTGCGGGTGGCCCCCCGCGCCGCAGCCTTGCCTCAGCGGGGCCAGCGTGCAGTCGGTCCCGTGGTCAGTGATGAGCTGCACTGGCCGCGGGACCCCCGGGCTGGCTGCCCGCGGAGACAGTCGGCCGCATCCCGAGGCCTCCGGGAGCGCCTGCGCACGCATGCGGGGCTCTGGTGGTGCGGTGTCTGTGCGATGCCTCCCGCCCAGCTGCCCGCCGCCCTGCGTTTTGTGAGGCTGGCTCTGGGTCCCTGCGACTTTGGGCTGGCAGGGGAGCCCCCGCAGGCCGGGACAGGGGGCTCCTCAGGTGCCTTGGGGCAGGGCCGCTCAGCATCCGCCCTGAGAGCCGGCTTGGGTCCCAGGGGCCTGGGGCGCCGCTGTCCCGCCCAGGTGTTGCCATCCGCCCCCCAGGGGAGCAGCCCTGGTGAGGGGGTGGGGAAATGGGGCAGGTGACATTGGCCTGGAAGCTTCCAGAAGGGGCCTGGGAGGGGCTGAGCGTGTCCTGTGTCCACCCAGCTGTCGTGACGGAACATCGCAGTTCCAGAGGCTGCAAGTCTGAGGGGGGGTTGTCCCAGGTCCCCCCAGCCCCGGCGACTCCTGGCGGAGAGAGGGCTCTCCTGGGGAGGTGTGATGGCTTCCTGGGGGCCACCCCCAGTCCTGAAGGCACTCCTGCAGATGGCCATCGCCTTGCAAGCTAGGGGGAGGCAGAGTTGGGTCCACGGCCCTCCCTGGTGAGAGGCAGGCAGCAAGTGGGGCCAGCCGGGGCTGCAGCCTCCCCCTGGGGAGGTGGCCAAGGGTGGGGCCGGCTCGATTTTTGCCCTGCCCACCCCACCCCGACTCCCTGAAAATATTTCTTTTGTTTAATTACTTGAGAGGTAGGTTTACAGAGAGAGGGAGGGAGAGACAGAGAGAGAGAGAGGTCTTCCATTCGCTGGCTCACTCCCCAGATGGCTGCAGTGGCCAGCACTGAGCCTGGCCGAAGCCAGGAGCTTCAATCAAGTCTCCCTGTGGGTGCTGGGACCCAAGCACTTGGGGCCTCCCCCACTGCTTTCCCAGGCCACAGCAGAGAGCTGGATGGGAAGTGGAGCAGCTGGGACTTGAACCGGCGCCCACCGCACGTGCGGGCACTGCAGGCAGCGGCCTTACCCATTAGGCCACGGCGCCGGCCGCTCTGTGAGCTCATGCTGAGCGCCCACCGGGGCCCGGGCCACATCTGCCTGCTGAGTGGACGAGGTGACTGAGGCAGAGCCAGGGCCCCACAGGGTCCAGCAGCCACACCGTGCCCCCCCCCCCACGGAGGGTCTCCCTGGGCCCCTCAGTTCCTGCCCCATCCAGGGTGGGCGTGGGGAACTCCCTGAAGCCGGGAACTGGGGTCTGCCAGGCTTCCAGGGTGTAGGTGGGACAAGACCCCTGCCCCACCCAGCCCCGGCCCTTGGGAGTTCTGTCCTGGTGGAAGGGGGAGGGGACCTGGCGCCGTGCTGTGATTGGCTGGTCCTTGGGAGGGCCGCTCCCGGCCCTGCCCCCACGCCCCTTGTGGCCGTCAGCAGGCAGACCGTCTGGGGCTAACGGCGGGGCACCTGCCCCTCTGTGGGTGCCCTGTCTGAGGCCGGCCCCCCTGGGACTCCATCTCCCTGATCCTGCACAGCCTGGGAGGGCACAGTGATGGCTCAAGTGCGTGGTCCCTGCCACCCATGGGAGAGACCTGGATTGCTCTCCCAGCTCCTGGGCTGGGCCCCAGACCAGCTGTGGACTACGAGGGGACGCCCCCCAGGGGCTCCTGGGGTGTGAGCTGTGTGCACTGCAGGGAGCTTGGAGCCCACTTTCAAAGCCATGGGGATAGCGGTCATCATCACCATTTTCCCTTAAAGAGACAGAGCTACAAACAAGGGTCAGGCCCGGGACAGTGCACACGCACGCCATGTCCTTGGGGCGGGGTTGGGGGTGCTGACCCTGCCCTAGGCGCCATCCCAGCTCCTGCCCACCCCTGGACGTAGCCCCTGGGAGGTAGCGTCCTGAGGCAGGTGGGGGTCCCCCCGGGAGAGGCGGAAGCTGCCCGTGGTGGAAGCTGGCCTTGCGTGGCCCAGCTAGGGCGTCGTGCAGGTGCTAACAAGGCTGTGCCTGCACTGCGAGGGGCAGGGGCTCACGCTGGCCGGCCGGACCCCCAGCCTGCCTCAGACGGCGGGGCGACCTGGGCAAGGGGAGGCCCGTGCGGCACGTGGCTCCGCGCCGGGACTCGGAGTCCGTGGTGACTTCACCAGCACTGCTCAGCGAGGTCCAGCTGCAGCCAGACAGCTGCCGCGTGTGTGACCGTGGCCTCCGTGGACAACACAGGCATGGTGGGGGCTGGAGGTGGACCCGAGCTGGCACCGCTGCCCGTTAGCACCAGGCCGCCCCCTTGCCCTGCGCCTCTGAGTCAGCAGCGCGCTTGGGCTCCTGGCTTAATGGGCCGTGGAGGGCTGGGGGCTGCCTCGGCCCACAGAGTGGACGTTTCAGCACGCAGAGGGAGCTTGTGCCCTTGGCATTGGCCTAAGGTAGGAGAGCACACCTGTGGGCGGGGCTCTCACCAGCGCGCCCACGTTGGCCACCCGACTGTTAGCTAACCGCATCCTTCCAGTTTTTGATTTATTATTTTGTGTGTTAAAGATACTTTGTTTGGGCCGGCGCTGCGGCTCACTAGGCTAATCCTCCGCATGCGGCACCGGTACCCCGGGTTCTAGTCCCGGTTGGGGCACCGGTTCTGTCCCGGTTGCCCCTCTTCCAGGCCAGCTCTCTGCTGTGGCCCAGGAGTGCAGTGGAGGATGGCCCAAGTGCTTGGGCCCTGCACCCCATGGGAGACCAGGAGAAGCTCCTGGCTCCTGGCTTCGGATCGGCGCAGCACTGGCCGTAGCGGCCATTTGGGGGGTGAACCAACGGAAGGAAGACCTTTCTCCCTGTCTCTCTCTCACTGTCTAACTCTGCCTGTCAAAAAAAAGAGATGTTTTGTTTGATTGAAAGGCAAAGATATTGATCTTTCCACCTCCTGGTTCACCTCCAAATGGCTGGGACAGCGGGGGCTGGGCCAGGCCGGAGCCAGGAGCCAGGACTTCCATCTGGGTCTCCCATGGGGGTGGCAGGGGCCCAAGCTCAGGCCATGCTCCGCTGCTTTCCCAGGTGCATTAGCAGGCTGGATCAGAAGTGGAGCAAGGGCCAGTGTTGCAGCAGGTGGCAGCATAACCCGCTGTGCCGTAACTGGCATTCTCCCGTATGGGCGCCATTCGGGGAGTGAACCAGGACATAGATATCTCTCTCTCTCTCTCTCTCTCTCTCTCCCTCTCCTCCCCTCCCCTCCCCTCTCCTCTCCTCTCCTCTCCTCTCTCTAACTCTGCATTTCAAATAAGCAAAATAAATCTAAAAAAAAACGAAGGGAGCTGCCAGGGCTTGGACCCATGCTCTCACATGGAATGCCAACGTCACGGGCGGCACCGCACCACAGCGCCAATCTTCACTGTACACAAGGCTATGAAAACGGAAAATCTGCCTCTCCCGCCAGTGCGCATTTGAGTAGCCTGTGACTTCTCCAGTGGCGGCCACTTGCAGGACACGGGGGCTACTCCAGGCACAGGTGTATGAGCTGGGTGGGCTACTCCTGCTCCAGGACAGTGGGGTCCGCCCACCCCCACCCACTGGCAGGTGCAGGGCCAATGGGCCGCACCCAGAGTGCCACTGGGATGTCTCAGCCCACTCTCACATCCTGCGTGTAACTCGATATTCTACACACGGTGGCTTCTCCAGGGTCACAAGCCAAGTTCGTGGCCCAGCCGGGAGCAATGGCCTCTCCCCTCAAAGGCCACCCCACCGGGACAGGGCCTCCGTTCTGGAGCCTGGGTGGAGACAGCTGTCCTGCAGCACAGGTGTGTGCCTGGCCACTTGTGGTCACCGTGGCCGTGCATCCCCAGGGAGGGTTCTGCGTGTCCAGGTGCACAACTGAGGTGTGCTGAGCCTCGGGAGTAGTCCCGGTCATTTTGACTGATTATCAGTCCCCGAGCTTTGAGTGACCTCATAAAACAAATCCATGCATTAGGGCAGCTCCAAGGTGACCCCGTCTGGTCAATTCCTGAGCCAGATGGAAAGGGCTGGAGCACCAGCAGCCGAGAGGGGGGTCCTGTCCTCTCTGGTCACTGCAGCCAGCACTCTCTGAGCTCATTCGCTGGTCGCTGGCTGAATGCTGGCCTCAGAGGGGAGGGCTGGGTGGCAGTCCGTTTGCAGGTGGGTGTGATTGGGTGCGAATTCGCCCAAGGCCACACCATGGCAAGCATGTATTGATAAATGGGGTCACGTCCCCTGTCGCTTCTGCCAGAGTTCTTAGGGACAATAGAGGCCCCCCCCAGTGGCCTGTTGGTTCCCTCAGTCCCGCTGGCCAGAGGCTGCGGGAGGCCTCACCAGCCACCCGGAGTCACCTCAGGCTGTGACCTTTGGGGCAGGCTCGACCCTTCGCTACCACCTGCGGGAAACCTCTCGCCCTCTGAACAGCCAGCGCGTGTGTGCACCTGCGCCGGGCCCCGCCCTGACCAGCGCGCCCCTCCCTCTCTCCACAGCCACCTCCCCATGCAAGATCCTCAAGTGCAACTCTGACTTCTGGAGCGCCACGTCGGGCAGCCACGCCCCGGCCACGGAAGACGCCCCGGAGTTCTGCGCCGCCCTGCGCACCTACGCCCTGTGCACGCGGCGCACGGCCCGCACCTGCCGCGGTGACCTGGCCTACCACTCGGCCGTCCATGGCATCGAGGACCTCATGAGCCAGCACAACTGCTCCAAGGATGGCCCCACCTCCCAGCCACGCGTGCGCACGCTGCCCCCGGGCGACAGCCAGGAGCGCTCGGACAGCCCCGAGACCTGCCACTACGAGAGGGGCTTCCACAAGCACGCGGCCGCCCCCAACTACACGCACTGCGGCCTCTTCGGGGACCCACACCTCAGGACGTTCACCGACCGCTTCCAGACCTGCAAGGTGCAAGGCGCCTGGCCCCTCATCGACAACGCTTACCTGAACGTGCAGGTCACCAACACGCCCGTGCTGCCCGGCTCCGCGGCCACCGCCACCAGCAAGGTAAGGGGCCAGGCCTGCAGGACCCCCAGGCTGCCCAGTGCCCAGCCGTGGGCAGTGTCGGGGGAGGGGTCCTGGTGATGAGCTGGGTGCCCCTGCGGCACCTGTGCTGGGTGCCGAGCTGTGAGGTCCCATTCTGGTGGCAGCTCGGGGCTAGTGGGAGTGGCGCCCCTGCTGTGTGTCCGGGAGTGCGCACTGATGGCACGCATGCGTGTCTGTGCGCACACGTGTGAGCGTGTACAGCCCGGGCTGTGACTTACCGTGGATTTCCCCCTGGGGTTTCGGTCCAGGAAGCTTAGAAGCGCTCCATCCTTCGGAATGGCCCTTCCTCCCCCGGTCAGCAGACACTTTGGCCTCCTGGAGCTTCCTGCCGGGGCTGGACGTGGGCTGGGGCGGATGCCACGCGGGCAGGCGGCCCTGCCTCCCTCCTAGAGGCCACGGCCTGCCCAGGGCTTCTCGTGTGCAAACGTCACAAATGCCCCGGGCCGCCTCGCACCCCGCTTCTCCGGGGGAGGTGGGGTGCCCATAGATCATTCCTGCGAAGGCCCCAGCACGTGTAGGGCATGGGATGGGCACGCGGGGCCAGCAGGCAGGGCTGTGGGATGCTGGGGCAGCCCCGCCTGGACCCTGAGAGGGAGGAGCCGAGGCCCGGGAGGCAGAGGGTGCGGTGCGTCTTGCCCCACGTGTGCCCGGCTGGGTCCACCCAGGTAGGACTTGTCCCGGGCCCAGCTGGCTTCAGAGCCCAACCAGGGACTGCCCAGCTTCTGACCCAAGGTGACCTCGGCGTTCGGAGTCAAGTTCTACTGCCAGGGCCACAGCCAGAGGCGGCCGCAGCCATGGCCCTCAGCCCAGCCGGCGGGGGTGGGTGGGGCCGCTCCCGCCCAGCCGCTCCTGCTCCCCTTCCCTTCCCACCGAGACCTCCTGCTCAGACGGAGCCGCAGCTCGCAGCTCGAGGCGTCCAGGCCCAGAGGGGGCTGTGGCCCTCGGAGCCCCAGGCCTTGGGAACCAGGACCCTGCCCCTCAGTGCCCTGGGGCTTCCGGCCGGCGGGTGGGCAAGGGCTCTGTTTGCCTAGGAAGCGCGCTGGGAGGCCACGCCAGGCGGCCCACAAGGGTGTTCCTGTCGCTGCCCGGCCACCACACCCAGGGAGGATGGCCAGGGACCTGCAGCCGGGGACCGGCCCCGTCCCCACCGCTTCCTGCCTCTCCCCTGGCCTCCCGTGCCCCCCAGGGCTGCCTTCTGGGCCTTCCCCGTGAAGCAGAGTCCCCCAGCCCCAGGCCAGGTGCCTGGGGTCCAGCGACAGCCACCCCAGGAAGGGGCTGCCAACGTGGCCTGGGCAGACAGGAGCCTGGCCCTGGGGCTGAGAGGCGGAGCCACCGCCTGGCCGGAGAGGGGGAGGGGAGGTCGGGCTGCCGCGCCGTGCTGGGGGTCACTGGGGGGCTGCCCGCTGCTGAGCAGCCTGGAGGTCGCCTTTGATCTCCGCAGCTGCCCTGGAGGCCTCGGTGCCACTCAAGGGAAACCCCAGTCCTGGTCTCCAGCACTCGCCACCCGGGGGTCCCCACGCTGAGTCAGCAAACGGTGCCCGGAGCCGGGCGTGGGAGGGGGCAGGGAGGGGCAGGGGTCTCTGCAGCAGCTCCCAGCTGACTGACACGGTGACAGGACGGGTGCCCAGGGAGGCGTCCCCGATGGAGGGCAGCCTGGTACTGCGGGGGGTACCAAGTAGTGGGGGCCTCTGGGCTCTCAGGAACCCCCCAGCCTGGGCCCTTCTGCTCCCAGGAACCCACCATGTGTCTCCTCCCTTCAGCTGGCCCGACCCCAGGCTCCCGGCGCCTGGCCAGCCCCTGCCTGACCCTCCCCTGACCTCACGGCCTCGTGGGAGCTCCGTGTGCACAGGGCCTGACCCGGGACAGCTGGAGGCCTCTGCCCCCAGGCCTCTGCTCCCCTGCCCACCCTCCTCCCACCCCCGCATCTGTGACCCCCACCCAGCAGGGCTGTGAGACCCTCCCCCACCCCGCGGTCCCACACAGGCAGAGCCGAGGATGGGCCGGGGGTACCGGGGTGCTGGGGGCCGGGTCTCTGCTGCCAGGACAGCACCTTGGGCTCGGCACCCTTGCCCGGCTGAGGGCGGGAAGCGGGAGGGCCCAGCTCCGGGTCCTTCCACGTGGACCACGTGCTCCTGCGCCGTCAGGTCGCCCTCTGCTGGGCCACCCGGAAGCCTGGGGTCCTTTCTGCCCGCTGTGGCGCTCGCGGGGGTGGGGGCGGGGGCGCTGGTCCTTCCCCTGGGGCCGGCGGAGGGGGTGACTTTGCGATTTGCCTCCATGTGTGAGTGAGCTGAGCGTCTGTTGGGCGGTGATCTGAGGGTTTCCAAGGCGTTTGTCTGAAGGCAAAAGGACAAGTTGTGAAGGGAGACGCGAGCCGCCACCGTGTGCGGGCAGGAGGGTCCGGCCCTGCCCCGCCGCTCCTGACCGGGTGCCTGTGCCCTGCCCCGCAGCTCACCATCATCTTCAAGAGCTTCCAGGAGTGCGTGGAGCAGAAGGTGTACCAGGCCGAGATGGGCGAGCTCCCGGCCGCCTTCGCCGACGGCTCCAGGAACGGCGGCGACAAGCACGGGGCCAGCAGCCTGCAGATCGCCGAGAAGGTGTCGGGCCAGCACGTGGAGATCCAGGCCAGGTACATCGGCACCACCATCGTGGTGCGCCAGGTGGGCCGCTACCTGACCTTCGCGGTGCGCATGCCGCAGGAGGTGGTGGAGGCGGTGGAGGACCGGGACAGCCAGGGCCTCTACCTGTGTCTGCGCGGCTGCCCCCTCAGCCAGCAGATCGACGTCCAGGCCGCCGGCCCCGCCCCCGCCACCCCCGAGGCCTTCCCGTACGAGGCGGCCGCGGCCAAGTGCAAGGAGAAGCTGCCCGTGGAGGACCTGTACTACCAGGCCTGCGTGTTTGACCTGCTGACCACAGGCGACGTGAACTTCACGCTGGCCGCCTACTATGCCCTGGAGGACGTCAGGATGCTGCACTCACACAAGGACAGGCTGCACCTGTTCGGGAGGACTCGGGAGCTGCCCGGCGGGGCCGCCCCGCGGCTGCCCCGGGGCCCCTGGCCTCTCCTGGCCGCCCTGGGCCTGCTCCTCCCTCTGCTGCCTGAGCTCCGTTAGGCAGCGCCTCTGCCATCGGGGCCGGGACGCTGGGGCGCGGGTGGAGACAGACGCGCCGCCCGGCCATCTGCCGGCCAGGGCTGCTCGTCGCCCCCCAGCCGCCGTCGTGCGTGGGACACGGTTGAGATAACTGGCACGCTGGGGTTTGTGACGTAGAGCGGTGAGAGAACAGCTCCTCTACCCACCCCCCACCACCACCACCACGTGAGCCGGCCACGCGGAGCCCCTGGGGAAGCCCCCTACCCCAGCAGAGGAGAGACCCTGGGCCAGGTGGCGGCCCCTGCACCCCCTGGCATTGCACTGACACTGGCCCGCCGCACGCACACTCAGCCCAGCGCCTGGCCCCGCCCCTGGGGGCTGAGGCTCCACCCCCACCCCACGGGGCCTCCCGCCTCCCAGCAAGCTGGTGTCACCTGGCCCGCAGGTGGTGCCCCGCCCTTCCCCTTGCTTGGGAGGTCACCGCGCTCGGAGAAGAGACCCCTCACTCTGTCCCTCCCCCTCCGCTGGGCAGGGGACCCAGGGGACAGGGCCAGCTGGCCTGCCCTGACCTCCGCTTCCCCCTCCCCGCCCCCTCCCCATCCACCATGTCTGGAATATGAGGGTTGGGGGGGCAGGGTCTTGGAAGACCTGTGGCCCTGAGCGTCCCCCGGCGGCCCCTCCCCTGAAGCCCTGTGGCTGCGCTGGGGGCCCCGCAGACCGAGGGCCGGCCCCACTTCTGCTGCTGTCCCGAGCCCCCGGCCCGCCCCCGCCCCCGCCCCGCAGCGCTGTCCGGGACCTCTCATACACTGGCCGGGAGGCTGCGCACCCGCGGCCCCCTCCCTCCCAGAGGTCCCCTCCCCCGGCCGGGCTTTGGACGACCCCCACGTCGGAAGCAAGAAGCGAAGCACTTTATTTTGGTTGTGTTTGATCACGCTCTGCTTGGAAGCGGCCCCCCGCGTCCGCGTGTGTGCGGGCTGCGTGGCGTCACCGCGTGTACATACTGTAAATTATTTATTAACGCTGTGGGCGAGTAAAGTCCGGTGGTTTTGTTTTCTTACCTTCTAGATGGCACGCTGGCGTCTGTGTTCTGGCCGAGCCGAGGGCGGGCTGTGGGGGTGGGCGGCCCCTCTAGGGAGGGTTTGGGGGGATCTTGTTACGGACACGGGTACAGGTGTGTGCGAGGGGTGTGAAATGCTGTGTGGTGTGTGAGCGTGCAGGTTGTGTGTGTGGTGGACGCAGGAAGCAGTGCTGTGTACAGTTGGTGCACGTATGTGTTGCACATGCTTGGTGCACGTGTGGTGCGTGTGAGCACATGAGCGTCACGTACAGCTGTGTGCGTGTGCTCCCCCCCTCCCCCGTGAGCTCTCTGGGTCTGAGTGGGGCCTGGTTCCTGGCCCTGGCGACGCCGGCGCCACAGGTGGAAGGACATCTGGGCCCTGGGGAGCGAGGCTGGGTGATGCACTGCAGCTGCTCCCGGAGCCCGGGGGGGGGGGGGTGCGCTGGTGCTGAGGGCCCAGACCTTGCTCTTGGTACCGGAGGGCCTGGGGCAGAAGAACGGTGCGGTGCAGCTCAGCCGGGCCAAGGCGCCCTGTCCTCCTGCCAGCCGAGAGACCTTGGGCTGTCACTCACCCCCTTCCCTGGGAGGGGGCCGTGCCTCAGGGGTGCCTGGCAGTCCCATGGGTCCGTGTGTGCATTTCTGAGGATGGGGCCTGACCCTGGGCGGCCCTCCAGGGTACCCCAGAGGGAGAGGTCAGCGGGGTGGAGAGGGGAGGGGCTCACAGACCCTGCATGCTGGGGAGGGGCTGTCCCAGGCTGGGGGGAGGGCTTTCTAGAACCCTGCTCTCACAGCAGCTCCCTAGGAACCTGCAGGAGTCAGGGTTGAGAGGCTGGGAAGGACCAAGCGCACCTATGCCTCGGCACGTCCCGGGACGGTGGCGGTGAGGGGTCGCAGGAGGCAGGGACGCGAGGAGCGGGGCTCAGGAGGGGACCGGCAGCCCCTGCCCCCTGGGGGACGGTGCTGCGTGCCACCTGCAGGAAGGTCACACAGGCCCGGACTTCTCAGGACCCCAGGTGTGGCCAGAGACTCCCGTCCCAGGTGCCGGGTTAGGACCGCCCCCAGGATTTGCATTCCATCATGAATGGGGTGCCAGGAGCTCCGTGGTCCCCCACAGTGGCTGTGTCTTCACGGGGTCGTGGGGGCTGGGTGTGAGCCAGCTGCCTGTTGCAGCCTGGCAGCCCGGGGGTGCCCCCTCCCCGGCCCCCGAGTTGCTCTTGGCACACTCAGGACAGGAAGGGGGGCTCGTCCCAGGCCCCGGCAGAGCCGCCCGGAGAAGCCAGCCTGGTCTGAGCCCTGCCAGGAGCACGGGACAGCGGGTGTGGCAGCAGAGCCACTCCTGGCCTGAGCCTTCGACCCCCAGCGGCCCAGGGAAGGAGGAGGGCACTGCCTCGCGGGCAGCCAGGAGCCCCGCCCTTGTGCCCGACAGGGCACCTCCAAAGCCGGCGCAGCACGGGTGTCTGAGGTGTTTACTTCGATGCAAGAAAGGTCACCATCGTGTCTCCGTGAGCTTGCTGAAGGCCCCTCCTTTGCATGGGTTCCAGGGTGTCCTGCACCCTCCTTTGCATGGGTTCCAGGGTGTCCTGCACCCTCCTTTGCATGGATTCCAGGGTGTCCTGCACCCAAGGAAACAGCTTTTAATCGCATCCTCAGCTCCCGGCGCCGAGCCGGGCAGAGCCAGCAGGGCCGCAGCCCCTGCTCCTGCCACCGTGAGCACACTGCCGCTCCCGAGCTAAGTGAAGGACCCGGAAGGTTCTAAGAGATGCACCCGTGCTGGGGCCGCAGGGGGCGGGGCTGCTCTGTGGGGGCGGGGCCCTCTGGCGGGCTCAGCCTCCTGGCTCCCGGGAGCACGCTGCACAGAGCGTGCCCAGCTGAGCAGCCGGGGAGCAGGGAGTGGAGACCATGGAGGGCCCAGGAGACGCCACAGGCGCCCGGAGCCCTGCAGGGCAGCAGGGCTGCAAACGCCCCGGGCCCCACCGGGACCCCTGCTGGGCCTGTTCCAGTCTCCACGTATGCCAGGTGCACAGGAAACACCCAGCCAAGAGCCTGCTGCCCGTGGTAGTGGGGGCGTCCTTTTATAGGGTAGGGGGTGGTGCCCTAATGAAATATTCAAGTGGGCGGGGCTTGAGTGCAGCTCCGTCCCTGTCCCATTTTTTGGGAATCGTGGAAGTGGCCTGGCGTCTCTTGCACACGGGTCTTCACGGCATCTCAGGCGTGTGGGGAGTGCGCGTGCCGAGCCTGCAGCCACCCTGGATTGGCATGGAAGGGGGTGGGGTCCGTGCAGTGCTGGGGGTCCGCACAGATCCTGCTGACGTCTCAGCCCCTCTCTGCCTACCAGCTACCTGCCTGCCCGTGTCACCACCACCCTCGTGGGCCCGCCCCGGCTTCCTCCCAGGCTGCCGCCTCCTGCTGGCCTTGCTTGTCAAACTTTTTCTTTAAGATCTATTTTTTTGTTTATTTGAAAGGCACAGTTACAGAGAGACAGACGGATCTCCGCTGGGTCACTTCCCACATGGCCGCCACAGCCAGGGCTGGGCCAGCCTGAAGCCAGGAGCCAGGAGCCACTTCCGGGGCTCCCATGTGGGTGGCAGGGGCCCGGCACTTGGGCCATCTCTACTGCGCCACAGCGCCGGCCCATGTGGCCAGCGCTCGAACAGCGAAACAACTGTGGTGCTCCGGCCAGGGCCAGTGGAAAGACCCCGCCCCATCCTGTAGTCTGGAGTCTAAGGACCCCTCGCCCCAGGCAGGGAGGCCGTGAACCTGGGCCTGAGCGCAAGGCCCCTGTGCTGCCGCCTCCCCAGCCACCTCTGCCACCGGCAGCTCCTCCACGCTAAGCGGCCAGCAGCCGCACGCCGGGCGTGGTCTGTGCCAGAGCACAGCCCAGATCCCAGGGCCTCGGTGGGGTGGTCCCCGGATGACAGCAGGGAGCCCTGGGGAGCCCACGATTCTTCCGCGTGGGAACTCCAAGGCCACAGAACGGGACTGTCTCCAGGCGGTGCAGCCGAAGCCACACAGACCCATCGGACTGGGACACAGCTATGGGGGGCACAGGCTGGGGAGGCAGCCTGAGCGCCCTCGGAGCTCCTGTTCCCCAGAAGGGGCTGGGGCAGCCTACGAAGGAGGCGGGGTTGTCTCAGGTGAGAGTACGGGGATCCCCCGAAGTCCTGCCTCTGCCGTGACCAGCTCACGGCAACCCTGGAGGCAGAGGGTGAAGAGGGGGCTCCCTGACCTGCTCCCGAGGTGGACGCCGAAGGGCCCGCCCCCTGCACCTGCTCCTGAGGCACACACCGAAGGGCCCGCTCCCTCGCTGACCTGCTCCCGAGGTGGACACCGAAGGGCCCACCCCCTCGCTGCACCTGCATCGCCACCGAGGACCTAGCAGGGCTCCGGGAATCCCACAGCATGGCTGAGGGGGGGAAGCGGCTGCAGAGCTGGGCCCAAAAGGAGGACGGGGACGGGAGAGAGGCCAGGGCTGCTGGGATGACCTCCTGCCACATGGGCCAGAGAGGCCCAGGGTCCAAGGAGAGGGCCGGGTGCTGGGGGCGGGGCACTGTCTGCTTCCAGGGTGGGCACAAGCCGCCTGGGCTATCCCAGAGCTGGGCCCTGGGTGGCCCTCAGGTCACAGCTGGGGCCCAACAGCCAGGGCCAGGGCCACAGGACAGGGGTCCTGTCGCAGGCAGAGCAGGTCTCCTCCGGCCAGCAGCCTCCCTGGGGTCCGTCCCTTAGGGCACGGCGGCGTGGGCGGGGTGGGGTGGAGTGCAGGCACTCCCAGGCCACTCCTAAAGTGGCTGGTCCCAGGCCCCGTGCTCTCAGCACTGAGCTGGTGTTGGGGACACAAACAGGTCAGTATGGCTGCCGCCCACCCCGGCGGTCCTGACCCCGTGGGGTAAGCGCCAGGTGACCAGCACGCCCTGGTCCTCCTCAGGGAGCCCCCTCCTGGCCTCCAGGCTTGAGGCCCCCGGAGCTGTACCTGAGCGGCTCAGGTGCCCGCGGCCACGGAGCCAGACCGTGGTCGCTGACATGGAGGCTGGCCTGGTCCTAGGGCCCAGAGCTCGCGGTCTCTGAGCCCAGGCCTGGGGCTCCTCCTGGGCCTTGGGTCCTCCCGTCCGAGCCACTCAATTTCCCACTCTGCTGCTGCCTGGTTCTCCCCCCACCTACCTGCCCCCCGGGAACAGAGCCCTGGGTTAGGGGCTCCCACGGGGCCGCCGAGGCACCTCAGCTATTGCCCCCGCCCACTACGGGCCCCAAGGCCCCCCCACCCCCTCAGCTGGGCTCCCTGGAAGCCCCTGGCACTTCCACAGTGCAGCAGAGAAAACACTGACCTGGGGCACAAGGAGCCCTCGGAAGCTGCTGCAAGCCCCGAGCCGGCTACTGAGGCTTCCCGTATCCCTCGGGAGGAGGCCACGCCCACCGCTCCCCCCTGCCCCCCCGCACACCCCGTGCCCCTCTCCCCCACCCTCGGAGAGGCGCTGAGCTCAACAGTTGCAGATCTCAGCCGCCAGGCACCGAGAGCAAACCCCAGGACACAGCCTAGCGGACCCACCTTCTGCCGTGAGCGCCTTCCCGGCTCCTCCACCGTGCGGCCAAAGTCAGAGCCAGGGACGCATGACCGGGCCCCGGGTGCAGCCCCCAGTGGGGGCCCTGGCAGCACCTGTGGGCCCGGAGGGGAGAAGCCGCAGGAATGAGGCTGCCCGGCATGGATTCCTAAGGTAAACAGGTGTTCAGCGGGCAGGCGGGGAGCCAGGGACAGCGGCCCTGAAGTTCAAGAGCAGGCTGTGGTCAGGAGCCCAAGGAGAACACAGGGCAGCGTGGCCAGCAGGGGCAGGATCCAGAGGGCCTCGGAACCAAAGCAGGGAGCCTGGACATTGAGGAACAGCAGAGGCCCTGACGCTGGGCTGAGCGGGGCAGGCTGGCCTGGGTGCAGCACTGTCCACGGCCCCCCACCTGCCACCTCCCCCCAGTCCTGGCACACCTCCTGCAGGGAAGAGAAGAGGTGGCTCCCTCTTCCAGGTGCTGCAGCCAAGGGACAGCCCACGGAGCAGAGAGCAACCGGGGAGCCGGCCGCCCCTGTTAGGCCATTTGTGGACACCTGCTGCCCTCTGCAGGACAGTTCTGGAACCTCAGGCGCCTCGGCCACAGAGAACTGGCCCCACCCAGGGCGGGAAGAGCAGTCTCCACGGAGACCCCCCCAGCGCCCTCTGATAACAGTAGCAGGTGCATCACTCACTCACCTCTGGCTAGGCCCAGTGAGGGGCATTCTGTGCCCAGACCCCAGCAGGCCAGTGGCAGCTGGGTTCCAGCCCAGGCCTGCTCTCCTGGCCCCCTGCCCCCGCCCCAGGTGCTCCTCACCCGACCCCTCCAGCGTGGCTCAGCCACCGCCACCCTGTCCCTCTCCCACCTGCCCCGTTTGCTCCCACCTGCGTGTGTGTTTGTTCTCCTGCCTCACTAGCCCCACCCCAGTAGCTCATCAGCTCCCAGGGGCTGGGTCCCTGGTGTTCACGGTGTGGGGTCCCAGCTCCCAGCAGAGCCAGCCCACGCTCTGTCCAGGAACCCGGCCCGGCTGCGTCTGCATCAGACCCTGAGCCCTACATGTGCTTCCTTGCCTCTCCCGCTTCCGTGGCCGTCCCTCGCTGGCCACCAAGGATCCGGGCAGTGCAGTGCGTTGGGTGCTGTGGCACGGCAAACCAAAGGGTGCTTGGGAGGCCCACCTCTGGCATCAGGCTCCAGCTACGCCACTTCCCATCCAGCTTCCTGATAGCACACCCTGGGAGGCAGCGGAGGAGGTGCCTGTGCCGGGCTCTGGGTGGGACTTGTGGGTGGAGCTCCTGGACCCTGGCTTTGGCCTGCCCCCGCCCCTGGCTATCGCAGGGAAGTGAACCAGTGGATGGGATCCATCTCTCTCTCTCTCCCTGATGCTATGCCTTTCAAGCAGATAGAAATAAAACAACAAAAAGCGAAGGCAGAGTCCCCGTGGGACGCTCGGCTGTCACCTGTTGAGGGGAGGAGCCTCCAGGCGCTTCTTCCCGCCCATCACAGAATAGAGAGGCCAGCTGGAGGGCACCAGCCCCCGGATTCTGCGCCTCGGGCAGGACGGAAGGGCTGGCCCAGGCCTCCCTAGCAGGGCAGCTGGAATGGCGAGCCCAGCTCCGCCCCGGCCAGCTGCACAGCCTCGGGCCAGCTGACCTTTCGGCCGGCGGAGGAGGGAGGCGGGCGCCGGGTCTGCGCTTCCAGTAACAGGCAGGCCCCTGGCAGAGGCCCCCCTCGCACTTGCTCTGCCTCCCCACCTCGGCCCAGCAGAGCTGTGAGCTGCAGCACGCGAGCTTCCCCTCAGAGCTCCGTGCAGGACCAGGGCCCCCCCGGACCCACCCCTCCGCCTGCAGTCACGGTTCCAAAACCCACGAGCTTCGCAGAGACCTGGTTTGGCTTCAGCCCCCAGTTCCTAGCAACCCTCGCACCTGGGAGTCCCGCGGGAGCCAGGCCCGGCTCGAGCTAACGTCTGTGTCTGTGTCTCCACCGTCAAGGACGCAGAACGCCTGTGGCGCTGAGGCCAGCACACGTGGTGTTTTCATTCCCTTCTGGATAGCGCACAGCACGACACTGATCTGGCCCACACCGCCTTCTGCTCCATGCGGCCACCAGGCCTCAGCCCTCCCCGGGGCTCCCTGGGGACCTTACGGGCAGCCCTGCTTAACGCGGTTACAGCCGCAGGTCCTCCCGAGGTGCAGCGCGGGCTGTGGCCAGGGAACTGACCCTGCAGACGGCGGCTCCGGGGCTGAAAACCTCAGAACCCGGTGGTGTCGGGGCGCAGGCCCAGAGCAGCTGGGGTAGAAACACAACTTCCCAAGGCCTCGGCCCCGGCCGGGTAAACCGGGTGTGACCCGCACCGGGAGGGGAGGAGGCTTCTCCAGCGCGCCGTTCAAACCACAATGCAATGCAACGTGTCAGCCCGATTCTAAGAAATCCTTAGCAACACTTTTTAATGTGTAAGAATCAAAAGTAGAGCAGTTTTACAATGTAGGAAAATTTAATACATACTATATAAACAACCTTATTTACATCAGAAATCACTAGGACAGTGGCATTTTTCACAAATATAAATTAATTACTGTTTAGTCAACAGGTTTTAAAAGTCCACAATTTTACAATAACGAAAGCCACCTGTGCCCAAGACAGATGGGCACGGGTGGACTAAAGCAGCCTGGACCCTTGGCACGGCTCTCGCCCAGCACAGCCGCCCGCACGGGCCCACCCGGCCGACAGTGGGTCTTGGCCTGCTAGGACCGCGGCGGCATCGCGCCCACGCACCTGCACCGCCAGGCGGGCATCGGGCCGAGTGCTCAGGTTTCCCTGGCGGCGCTGAAGGAACGATGGCGGGAGAGCAAGCAGAGGGGCCGTCAGCTGGAGCCTGGCTCGGAGGTCAGCCTGGGCTTCGCCTGTCCTGCCGGCCACGGCGCAGCCAGCACCCCACTCCTCGGGCGCCGCCCCGCAGGTGAGAGGGCCGCGTGCGCACACCTGCGGTCACCCTCGCCGTGCGAGGCTCGCGGACCTCCGCCCCAGCCCACGTGCGCTGATACTGTCACACGGAATCAACACTGATCTGGCCCACACCGCCTCCTGCTCGGCACGTGGCACTCGGGGGCCTGAGTGGGAACGGAAGGAAGCGGCTTCTCATGAGGGCACATCTTCGGGGGTGACGCACGTCTCCTGTCGGCAACGTGGAGTACGGGAAGGCGCCCGCTCCGCTCACGCTGCTCCCGGGGGCTCGCCCCCTCCCCAGCTCCCCCCGCAAGGGCCGCCCTCGCCTTCCTCTTTGGCTCAGCAGTCAGCGGTGCCAGCAGCAGCTGCGCCTCTGCGCCCTCCCGCCTGCCCCCGGGGCGGCGTGGCAGGCGTGGTGCAAGGCCAGGCTGAGCAGCTGCGGGAGGGGCGGGCCGACTCCCAACCCAGGCTGCCGGGACAGAGCGGCCTGCAGGCAGCTCAGCACCGCGGCACGTCGGGACGGCTTGGCATTTCTTGGTAAAGGCATTAACGGCGCTGTCCGGCCCCAAGGGCCCCACGGTCAGCTCGGGAGTCTGCACTCGCCCTCCGCAGGCTCTCCCACCGCACTGCGCCTGGACGCCTGGACGCCTGGACGCCTGCAGGCAGCTGGATGCCCTCACTGGCATGGCGGCAGCCCTGACCTGGCCCTGTCCTCAGCTCCGCGCCAGGGCGACTCTCGCTGCCCAGCACTCGGTCCCCAGCCCTGGACGCTCCCCACCAGGTTCACATTCACTGACCTGATTCTGAAGGAGACCAAGCTCAGCTGGGAACGCTCCTGCAGCCGCGCCGTGCGGAGGTGTGGGGTTCTGGGTAATTAATCCCAGCTGCAGGCGGCTACAGAGGCTGATCCACTCAATACTGAAAGCTTCCCCCACCTGCTGCAAGGGCTGGCAAGGGCAAACCCCACCAGGAACCCTGCTGGCCGCCCGTGGACGCGCCCACCAGTGCTGTGCTGTGCTGTGCTGGCCCGCAGGCCTGCCTCTGCCTCCACCCCGCCCCTCCAGAGGAACCTGGCCACACGACCCCACCCCACCCCACCCTCACTCAGCCCACTCCGCAGTCAGTAAGACCAGCCCACGCTGACTTCGGTGTGGCTAAATCACAGTACTCAAAAGTCAGCCGGGGGGACCCCACTTTCCCTGGCATGGGGGAAAAGCAGTCCCACTCAGGAGAGCAAACCTTTGAAATGCACAAAAACAGCATGGAAAAATTAGTGTTGGCAGGGAGAGGCCACGGAGCAGCGCTCCCCACTCCGCCCACCCCCGGGTCTCCACGGCGAGGCCGAGCGGATCCTTCCCAGGACGCCCCTGCAAGTCCTCCGCCGCGAGACCTCACCCCTTCAGCAGCACCTGTCATGTCACAGTGAACCAAACCCCACGCCGGCCCTCAGGCCCCGCAGCCTCCACACACCAAGGCCAGGAGCCCCCGTTCCTTCCCAGGGCAGCAGGTCCAGCGACGCGGGCACACAGTCACCTCCTCCCCCAGCACCCGTCAGGGAGGCCGGAGCAGGCCGGCACGGAGGAGGGCGAGCCGAGGTGTGGGAGAGCTGCCGAGAGCAAGGGCCTGCTCTCCGTGAAGCGCTCCTGCGGCCAGAGAGAGGACGGCAGCCGCGTGTCCCCAGCCCGCGCTCGCAGGGCTCCAAGCTGGCCGCTGGGGCTCAGACCAAAACAGCCGCGTGCGCGCTGGCTCCTGCTCGCCCCCTCAAGCCGTCCTTTATGTTTTCCGAACATTCCAACTGTAATCTGGGTTGTTTTTCTGTTCTAGTGACCTGTCCAGGGGAGACCGATGGCCCAGGGGGGACTTGGGGTCGTGAGGCGACTTCTGAGAAGGGGGTGAGCGGGGCGCTGAGACCGCAGGGTGCAGTGGGGGCAGGGGCTGTTTATAGTCCCCCAGCTTGTCTGTGTGGAAAGAGCGGTAGTGGTCGGAGGGTCCTTGGCCGTGGTAGCCCATAGGGGGCCGGTGGTCGGACATCCGTCGGAAATCCTGCTGGTGGTAATTCTGAGGCCTGAAGTCATCGGCTCTCCTCCGCTTAGAATCATGATGGTGCCTGAAACAGAGATGCGGGATCAGGTGAGAGAGCAAAGCCAGACGCCCTCACCGAGGCCTCTCCTCACACTCACAGGACGCAGGGACAAGCATGTCCAGACGCCCTCACCGCGGCCTCTCCTCACGCTCACAGGACGCAGGGACAACCATGTCCAGACGCCCTCACCCTGGCCTCTCCTCACACTCACAGGACGCAGGGACAAGCATGTCCAGACGCCCTCACCGCGGCCTCTCCTCACACTCACAGGACGCAGGGACAAGCATGTCCACTGTCAGGAATCAGTAGGCAGTGGTACAGAGGGGACGCGCTGTGCTTGGCGGACCGCCCTACGCCTGCCCTTGGCACAACACCGGCACAGCCCGTCATCACTGTAGTTCTTGACCCAGCTGAGGATCCACAGGGCCACAGAAATTAGTGTTTGAGGTACTACTAACAGCAAAGGCCACAGTCAACCTGAACACTCGAGAACAAGGGAAGGGACGATAAAATGAATGTAAAAATCAGCTTGCTGTGAGAGCATTAAGATCTGTAGTTTGGATCACGGTTTGTACACCGCTTGTTCTACTGTAGAACCAGGATTGGTGTAACCAGCAGCAGCAGGACAAAGAACCCAACTCAAAAACAGGCAGAGGAGGCCAGCGTCATGGCGCGGGTCACGCCGCCTGACTGCCGCATCCCTGATGGACGCCGGTTCAAGTCCCAGCTGCCCGTCTCTGAAAACGGAGCACCTGGGCATCAGCGGAAGACGCCCGCGTCCCTGGGCCCCTGCACCCACGTGGGAGGTCTGGGTGGAGTTCCAGACTCCCCACTTCGGCCTGGCCCCGCCCTGCTGCAGCCGTTGGAGGAGTGAGCCAGTAAACGGAAGGTCTTTCTTCTCCCTCTAACTCTGCCTTTCAGACAAGTAAATCTTTGAAAGTAAACAAATACAACAAACAGGCAGTGGACCTGAACAGACACTTCTCCAAAGACACAAGCAGCTGGTAACAAGCACTGCATAAACACCGTTTATCGTGACAGAAATGCCACTCAAATCCACGAGACACCTGACACCCACCAGGATGCCTCTGTTGAAAAGAAAATTTAAAAATAGAAAATGAGTATTGGTGAAGAGGTGGGAAAACTGCTAACGCAGGAATATACAACGGTTCAGCGACTGTGGAAGACAGGTCGCAAGTTTCTCCACAAGTTAGACACAGGGAAACCGTATGATCGCTTCTCCCCAGAGGAACGGAGAACAGGTATCTGAGCAAACACTCATGTGCCCGTGTTCCCGGTAGCATCACTCACAAAGGCACAAAGATGGAAACAACTCAAGTGCCCACCCGTGGTGAGCAGATAAACAAACTGTGATCCAAGCATCAGTGGGGTACAGTGCAGCCCTGGACAGAGTGAAGCAGAGGCAGGTGTCAGTACAGCGGGTAGAACACGCGGGGGATGCTCACGCCCCACTCTGGAGTCCCTGGGTTCAAGTCCAGGCTCTGCTGCCAGTCCAGCTCCCTGGAATGCACATCTCAGAAGGCAGCAGACAACGGCTAAAGCGACGGGGCCCTGACTCCCACCCAGGGAACTGTGCAGTGAGTTCTGGGCTCCTGGCTTCAGCCTAGCCCAGCCCCAGCTGTGGGGGGCACACAGCGGGTGAACTAGCAGACGGAACGTATGGCCCTCTATCACGCTGCCTTTAAAAAAAACAAAGACAAAGTAACTCATTGAACCCATGACATCCATGAACAAAGGCAGACACAGACGGTCACGCGGGGTTCCTCCCACAGGAAACATCGAGACGTGGAACAGGCGGCCCTGAAACGGCAGGCAGGTGGCGGGTGCCAGGAGCTGGGGAGAGGGGAGGGTGGGGCGCGCACTTCACGGCGCCAGGGATTTCTCGGGGTGACCACAAGTTCTGGAACTGGAGAGCCGCGACACTGAACGACGCTGACTGCACACCCCGCGACAGCTGCATCTGAGTTCCGCGGCAGAGAGAGCGAGGACAGGGTGCGCGCAGCTCCAGCCCAGGGAGTGACAGCCTCCCAAAGGGACAGAGCGTATGGACGACGGTTTTCAAAGCACCACACGGTAGGCAACGCGAGCAGGGACTCCTCAGACGGAAGCCAACGAGGTGAGCCTCCGACAGCCTTTCCTGTCCTGGGAGCGTCCGGCCTGCGGCCAGAGGGAAAAGCCAGAGAGCCAGCGGGCTCCTCAGACCCCGGCAGCCAGAGTGCCCAGAGAGGAGAGGGCTGCGCACAGAGAAAGGCACCCTCATACGCACTGGAACCCTGCCCTGTCGTGCCCGCACACCCCCGAGGCCAGGGAAAGAGCCACCCAGCAGCCACGCGGCTGCAGTGCCCCGCGCTCTCCCAGAGCCTCCCGAGGCCTGGCGCTGGGCAGGACAGGTCCCCGCTGACAGCAAGGCCTCAGCTGCTTCCTCCTGGCGGTCGCTTGCCCTGACCCAGCTCCAGGGCACTCGTGGGCCCAGCGTGGCCGCCACTCAACACGGTGCACTGCGTGTGCACACAGCCACGTTCCTGGGCACAGAGACAGCCCAGACTCCACAGAGAGGTCAGCCCCGAGGGACACCCGTGAAGCAGCCAGCAAAGGCACAGGAACGAATCCACGCCCAGGAGCTCAAGCACAGACACCGTCGCACCCCCAGGCACGGAAGGCTCCAGACAGACAGGCAGGCTTTTTAAAGAGACTCGAATCCAGCTTCTAGAGACATTTAAGTTTCTGAAACACAAACACACTGGATGCATCTCACAGCGGACCAGGAGTTAAAACTGAAAATACCACCTCAAGAATTAATGGAAAATGGAATTAAAAGGACATTTGGTGCAAAGAACATTGAAATGTATGCATAGTTTTTCCATGAACTTTCTGAAGCCTGCTTGCATTAGCAAACTTAGAAACAATAATAAAAACCAACCAACGGCCGGCGCCGCAGCTCACTAGGCTAATCCTCCGCCTTGCGGCGCCGGCACACCAGGTTCTAGTCCCGGTTGGGGCGCCGGATTCTGTCCCGGTTGCCCCTCTTCCAGGCCAGCTCTCTGCTGTGGCCAGGGAGTGCAGTGGAGGATGGCCCAGGTGCTTGGGCCCTGCACCCCATGGGAGACCAGGAAAAGCACCTGGCTCCTGCCATCGGATCAGCGCGGTGCGCCGGCCGCGGCGGCCATTGGAGGGTGAACCAACGGCAAAGGAAGACCTTTCTCTCTGTCTCTCTCTCTCACTGTCCACTCAGCCTGTCAAAAAAATAAAATAAAATAAATAAATAAAAACCAACCAAAAGAGAGAAAATATCACTACAAAAGAAAAAAAAAACAACCAACTAAACAAAACCCAGATCCTGAGCGAGTTAGGGGCAGCTTCAAGCAGGTTCACATCGGTGTGACGCAACTGCTCCAGAGAGACAGGCTGTCCCAAGACTGCTGTAAAAATATCCAAACAGTATAGAAATGCTGAACCTAGAGATTCAAGCTAAGAAGCACAAACCGCGGCACGGACGATGAGGGTTGTGAAAAGGACAGCCAAGGGAGACGGCCTCCCAGAGGGAAGCAGGACCCCGAGGTGTGCGTATGAAATGTTCCCACTTAAACCCGGGGAGAACAAAGCCGCTGCAGGGTGACGCAGTCCAGTCCTGACACAGGAGGTGCAGGGGACGTGCGCTGGCCCCTCCTGCACTGCCAGCTCTCAGCTTTCAAACCGCGGCCCCTCCTACCACTGACTCCCAACCACGCATGCCCAGCAGCTAAGGGACCCTACAGACCTCAGGAAGCCTGGCTGCTCACTCCAGGATGCATGCTGCCACTTCTCTACATTTTCTTGGAGGTTCCTATGACCCAGACGTCTGTACATAAACCCGCACGCTGGCGTTCAGGGCACTGCCCCGCCTCCAGCTCGTCTCTGGGCACCCTTCCCGGATGCCACTTTGAGTTCCGACTCTTGATGGTTCAGACCCAGATCCGCAGCCTCCCCGGTCCCAACGGCAAAAGAAACTCAAACTCCCTACTCCTGACCATCCTGCAGCACACGACTCCCCTGCAGCCCCCTGCAGCCCCTCCGTGGCAGACGCAGCGCGGGATGGACGCGGGCTCGCCCCCGCCTCCCAGGCCCCCGCACCTGTCGTAATAATCTCGGTGTCCCCGGTGGTCCCGGTCACTGCCGTACTGATCATAAGGTCTCTTCCGGGACAGGTTGTTGGGCCGATAGCTTCCGGAACGGTGGGCATCCATGTGTCGCCGGTCCCCATAGTGGTGGTCCTTGTACCAGTGCTGCTCGTACTGATGGTGCCTGTCACCGCCCCACGGCGGGTTGCCGCCGCCGCCACTGTAGCTGAACTTCCTGTCCCTCGGCCAGTCTCCTCGATCTGAAGGGAAGGGAAGAGAGGTCTGGTGACTGCAGGAAGCAGCCGTGCTCCACACTCGCCGAATCCGGTGGAGGTGGGCACAGGGCAGGGACAGACACTGAGCCCTCCCCCGGGCCTGCTGCTGCAGCTGAACACCTCGGTAACGAGCGGGCTACTCCTGCCCCCGTGTTTTAGGGCACTAAGAATCCACCACCTCTCTCCCAAGACCGCACCAACTATTACTGTGTTCTCTGTCTTCCAATGTATGGCAAACCCTTAAAGTAAGTTTTCACTAAGCAAACAGAAGGGGCCAGCGATTCAGAGGATGAGCTCCCGAGATTCACCCTCCGTTTCCACACCCACAATTTTTTTAAATATTTATTTATTTGAAAGGCAAGGTTAGCAAGAGAGAGACAGACAGACACGGCAGGAGAACTTCGATCCGGCTGGCCCAAGTGCTTGAGCCCTTGCACCTGTGTGGGAGACCTGGGGGAAGCTCCTGGCTCCTGGTTTTGGATCAGCACAGCTCCAGCCGCTGCAGCCATCTGGGGAGTGAACCAGTGGATGGAAGATCCTCTACCCTCCCCCTCTGTCTCTCTCTCTGTGACTCTGCCTTTCAAATAAATAAACATATCTTTAAAAAAATACTTCTGTCTGCTGTTTCACTTGCCAAACGGCCACAACAACCAGGGCACCTTCCGCTGCTTGCCCAGGCACACTAGCAGGGAGCTGGATTGAAGTGGAGCAGCTGGGACTTGAACCAGCGCCCATAAGAGATGCCAGCACTGCAGGCGGCAGCTCCACCTGCTCCACCTCTAGCCCCTCCACTGGTAAAGTGCGATGCCTGGTCTCTGGACAGCTCTCCAGATCACACCTACCACTGTTCTCAAGGCTGTACCAGAGAAGTGGACCTCAATCTCCTGCAGGGAAAGCAGCTCCTCCAACTCTGGCGTGGGTCAGCACGCTAGCTCTGGCGTGGGTCAGCACGCTAGCTCTGGCATGGGTCAGCACGCTAGCTCTGGCGTGGGTCAGCACGCTAGCTCTGACGTGGCTCAGCACGCTAGCTCTGGCGTGGGTCAGCACGCTAGCTCTGGCGTGGGTCAGCACGCTAGCTCTGACGTGGCTCAGCACGCTAGCTCTGACGTGGGTCAGCACGCTAGCTCTGACGTGGGTCAGCACGCTAGCTCTGGCGTCAGCACGCTAGCTCTGACGTGGCTCAGCACGCTAGCTCTGACGTGGGTCAGCACGCTAGCTCTGGCGTGGGTCAGCACGCTAGCTCTGGCGTGGGTCAGCACGCTAGCTCTGGCGTGGGTCAGCACGCTGACGTGGGTCAGCACGCTAGCTATCAAGGGCAAGGCCAAACTAAGGTCCACTTGACTTCTGCCCCTCCTCTCCTGAGGAAAAGAATCGCTAGCATCAGAAAAGGCAGCGCAAGCCCAGGAGTCCAGGGGCGGAAGCCGTCCAGGCTGCACTGCAGCCCTGAAATGCACATCCAATTTTGAGTGACTTCACCTAGAAATATGGCTTTTGCAGATGTTAAAAAAAAAAGTAAGGATATTGGCGAGATCACCTTAGATTTAAGCTGAGCCCTCAATCCAATGACAGACATCATTTGAAAGAGGCAGAGGTAGGGCCGGTGCTGTAGGGTAGCATGTTAAAGCTGCCACCTGCGCGCCAGCGTCTCACATGGGTGATGGTTGGAGTCCCATCTGCTCCACTTCTGATCCAGCTCTCTGCTGTGGCCTGGGGAAGCAGTAGGAGATGGCCCAAGTCCTTGGGCCCCTGCACCCACATGGGAGACCCAGAGAACTCCTGGCTTCGGATCAGCGCAGCTCTGGCCACTGTGGCCATTTGGGGAGTGAACCAGCAGATGGAAGACCTCTCTCTCTTTGGGTCTGCTTCTCTCTGTAACTCTTTCAAATAAACAAAACAAATCTTAGCCAAAAAAAAAAAAAAAAAAGGCAGAGGCAGGCCTGAGACAGACGTGCGTGACGTAGCCGCAAGTCCAGCACTTGCTCTACCCTCACTGCCTTCCAGGCCCATGAACAGGAAGCTGCAGCAGAAGCAGAGGAGCCAGGACTCAGGTGGGCACTCGGAAGCGGGCTCCCGAAGCGCAAGCCCTGGCTCCCCCAGCCGCGCCGCGATGCCAGCACCGGTGTCTGCTGCTCCGAGTCAGCGGCTCTGTGCTGCTCTATTCCTTCAGCCCAGGAGAGACGTGGGCTCAGGGGAGCTCCGTTCCTGCTTACAACTGCGTCACTATCCTGCCACCAAGTAAATGCCTCCACTGCTTCTGCTGGCCCTCCAGCGTTTCCTGCAGACCCAGAGTGTGACGGCACCAGGAAAGCTGCGCCCCTTAGAAACTGTCATCGTTAACAGAATGCAGTCACCCAGAGGCCTAATCACCTGATCTGGGTGATCAGCCGAAGGATCAGGGAATAAAAACCTTCAGACTAGTCAACCCAAGGCTCAACAGACGGCAAGGAGAGACATCTCATGTGCAGGGCCAGCTGCAGGGGGCTTCCAAACAAGTGGAAAGCCAGATCCCAGACAGCTGTCAAACACCTCTGCTACCAGGGCTGTGAAAACTTATTCACACCAGGGGGCATCCACTCCCAGGTCAGGCGGTCAGGGCTCGCGGGGTCGCAGGCAGCACCGGCACGGGCTGGCCCGGTTCCGTGGTTCTGGCGACAGCAGGAGGTGTCAGACCTCTCTGGGGCTGGGCTGGGCCGAGCAACTGCTCTGGATAAGCAGAGAAAGCAGCAGAGCTCCTGTAGGCTCTCTGGACGGCAGGGGCACTGCACCCTTGGGAGACTTCAAGTGCGTGGCCACTGAATCTGCAGGGAGCAGGCGGCTACGGGACACGCGGGCGGCGGCCAAGGCCGCCAGAGGGCAGCCCAGCAGAGGAGCCGGGGAGCGTCCGCAGCAGGGATCCGCAGACAGCGGGGTCACCCGCTCCGGGCGCCCTGGGGAACAGGCGAACGCTCTCTTCAGGAAGGGACCACCTGGAGCCCTACAACGTCGACAGCGGTGTCCCCCTCTGAGCAAACCCAGGCACGAGACCAGAACAGGGCTGAAAGCGGGAGGAAACGCTCACGGCGGCAATCGCTCACGGGAAGTCGGAGGGCAAGGACTTCTCAGCAGTTGTTTTTAAAAGCTCGAGGATTCTACCAGAAGACTGGAATGTGTGTTTTAATTCAAATGGAAATTCTAGAACTGAAGCTTACAAAGAAAAGGATATTTCATTTTGATTATTATAGAATATTTGAATCTTTGTAAGATCAACCTTACACTACACGTCTATATATGTTATATACTTTTTAAGGTTCATCCTATGATTTTTTCCCCTTTCTTCTTATCTTTAAAAAAATTCATTTAACAAAATAAAAGGAGGGTCACCATTATGGCATAAGGGGTAAAGCCACTGCCTGTGACACCGGCATCCCACACGGGCACAGGTTCAAGGCCCAGCTGCTCCACTTCTGATCCAGCTCCCTGCTAATGCACCTAGGAAAGCAGCAGAAGATGGGCCAAGTCTTTGGGCCCCTGCACCCGTGTGGGGGACCCCAATGGAGCTTCTGGCTCCTGGCTTCAGCCTGGCTGTGTGGCCATCTGGGGAGGGAATCAGACAACAGAAGATCTCTGTAACTCTCCCAAACAAATAAAAGAAATCTTTAAAACAAAAACAACTAATTCACGCTCACTCTAACTCAGGCAGCAGCAGACAGCGGGTGGATTCTTCATCATTTCTGCCAACCTTCCTTCCGTTCCTGCACCCCGGGAACGGCCACTGCCCTCAGTGTGCGTGGTGTGCGTGCCTTCATGTCTCTCCGTGCTCATGTAAATGCGTTATTCAAACACATGCCACCGAGATCGGTTTGGCAGTATCTCAAAAAACCAAGCACAGAATCACTGCATGAGCCAGCAGGGAGCTGGCCTGGAAGAGGGGCAACCGGGACAGAATCCGGCGCCCCGACCAGGACTAGAACCCGGTGTGCCGGCGCCTCAAGGTGGAGGATTAGCCTAGTGAGCTGTGGTGCCGGCAGCAACTCCCTTCTAGGTCAATACTTCAAACAATCAAAAACAGGTACTCAATACCTATTTGTACATCAGTGTTCACATTACTATTCACAACAGTCCCAAAGCAGAACACTCCAAATGCCTACCAATGAAGGAACAAAATGTGCTCTATCCAAACAATGGAATATTAGCCTGCCGCCCATATCAGAGTATCCAGGTTCAAGTCTCGTCTCCACTTCCGGAGCCACTCTCCTGCTACCTACCCTGGGAGGGAGCGGGGGGCCACTCAAGTTCTTGGGGCCCTGCCACCGACATGGGAGACTCAGACTGAGTGCCAGGCACCTGGCCTCGGTCTGCCCAGCCCTGTCTGGTGCAGTTATTTTGGGAGTGAACCAGCAGACAAAGACCTTTCTCTTTGTCCCTCTCTATTTGCTTTTCTGGCTTTTCAAATAAAAAAAAAAAAAGTAACTAAAAATAGAAAGAAAACACTATGCCAGCTAAAGAAGGCAGACACAGGAGGTCACATGTGTGTGATACTATCCAGGGGAGTGTGACCAGAGGCAGGGAGCAGGCTGGTGGCGGGCAGAGAAGGAGGGGAGGGTGAGCCGGGAGAGGCTGCGCTGTGGGGATGGGATTTCCCACCAGAGCGAACTGAGACTGAACTCACTGACGGCCATTGAGGTCCGCGCGCAGGGAGGCTTTTGTTGCTACTACTGCTTTCTTGCCCTCCGGTGCTTTATCTAAAGAGCCGACTCGTTCTTTCTAACAACTGAGAGCAGTATTTTCGTGAAGACGTCCTCCTGCTCATGCGCCCACCCCGCACTGACGCACATGCAGGGTCACTAGCAGTCTGGAAGGGCACCCGCACACGGGCGCGTCTTCACTCATACTGGAGACTCCAGCAGAAATCACTGTTAAAGTGCCTATGCCTTTAGACATCTCTGAGTATTCGGAAAAGATGGTAGCAATTCACACTTTTAGCAACTGCGTATCTCTTACTTCTTTGCTCATCTGAATGATTAAAAAAGAAAATCGGTGAACTTCTTGTCTCTACTTTCTTTGCCACACATAAACACAGCTCTTCTTCTAATCAATGGTCCAAGACTTCAACTCAGTCTGCATTCCCTTTCTTTGAACTTTGTTTCAAGAGCTTGTTTTTATTTAAAATCTTTGATTTTATTTATTTATTTGAGAGGCAGAGACACAGAGAGCTCCCATTTAGCTCCCACACTAAATGCTCACAATGGCCAGGACTGGGCTAGGCTGGGCCAGGACAAAACTGGGAGCCAAGTATCCAATCCAGGACTCCCACGAGGGTGGCAAGAACCCAACTAGTGGAGCCCTCACCGCTGCCTCCGGGTGGCGCCAACAGGAAGCAGGAATTGGGAGCAGAGCCAGGACCCAAACGCGCAAGGCAGCGCCAAGTGGCAGCTTAACGGCCAGGCCAAACACCTGCCTCAGGATTTTGGTTTTTTTGTTTTTTGTTTTTTGTTTTTTGTTTTTTGTTTTTTTTTTTTTTTCAGAAAATTTTCACTAACAGAAATGGCATCTACTTATCGAGCATAGCATGTTTTAAAATACGTACATAATGACCAAACCGAGCTAATTAACATCGGCATTACCTCACACACTTGCTGTTCTCCGATTTCCCAGAATGCGTCATAACTAGTCACCTGTTGTGCCGTTCCGCCTCCTAGCTCGATCCTGCACCCGGTGAGCAGCACACCTCCTCCTGTGTACCTTCTCCCTGCTGACCACTGTCCTACCCTCTGCTCCTCCAGGCTCTGTCCGTCACACTCTGTGGGTGAGAGCCTGTGCCAGGCTTCTTTCCCTGAGCATGACGCCCTCTAGGCGCAAACGCTGCTGCCAATGACAGCACTGGATGCACTGCCACGGCGGAACGCTACTCCACGGTGCAGCTCAGTGTATCCGCCACGTTTTCTCTCCTCATCTAATGGACACCTAGGCTGGTGCTGCATCTAGAACACTGAACAGTGCTTCAGTGAACACAGCGGTGGAGGTATCTCTTCGACACTCTCATTCCACTTCCTTTGGATATATATCCAACAGCACAGCCGGTGGGCCAGCTAAGGCCCACAAAATTATTTGGTCTGGCCCTACCAAGGCAACTTGCAGGTGGGACTCAAAATTTATAGCAGGCTAATTTTTTAAAAAAAATTTTTAAGCCGGCGCCGTGGCTCAATAGGCTAATCCTCCACCATGCGGCGCCGGCACACCGGGTTCTAGTCCCGGTGGGGGCGCCGGATTCTGTCCCGGTTGCCCCTCTTCCAGGCCAGCTCTCTGCTATGGCCAGGGAGTGCAGTGGAGGATGGCCCAGGTGCTTGGGCCCTGCACCCCATGGGAGACCAGGAAAAGCACCTGGATCCTGGCTCCTGCCATCGGATCAGCGCGGTGCGCCGGCTGCAGCGGCGGCCATTGGAGGGTGATCCAACGGCAAAGGAAGACCTTTCTCTCTCTGTCTCTCTCTCTCACTGTCCACTCTGCCTGCCTGTCAACTAATTCACGCTCACTAAAAATTTGACAGGCAGAGTTAGACAGTGAGAGAGAGACAGAGAGAAAGGTCTTCCTTTTTTCCATTGGTTCACCCCCTAAGTGGTTGCTACAGCCAATGCGTTGCGGCTGGTGCACCGCGCTGATCTGATGGCAGGAGCCAGGTGCTTCTCCTGGCCTCCCATGGGGTGCAGGGCCCAAGCACTTGGGCCATCCTCCACTGCCCTCCCGGGCCACAGCAGAGAGCTGGCCTGGAAGAGGGGCAACTGGGACAGAATCTGGTGCCTCAACCGAGACTAGAACCCGGTGTGCCGGTGCCGCAGGTGGAGGATTAGCCTAGTGAGCCGCGGCGCCAGCCAACAGCAGGCTAATTTTTAAGCTGATCATTTGGAGTGTTATAAATATTCAAGTGGCCTTGGCAGAAAAAAAAAAGACTTCTCTACCCATGCCGTGGTGAGACTGGTGGGTCATGTTGGCTCTGCTTTTAGTTTTCTGAAAAGGAGCTTCCACACTGCTTTCTGCAGCGGATACACTGAAAGCAGGTAAGGGTTCCTTCCACATCCTCACCAACACTTAGTTAAAAAAAATCTATCTGCCCATTTTAAGGCAGAGATGGAAAGGGATCTCCCAGCCACCGGTTTACTCAGCAAATGCCCACAACAGTCAGGCCGGGCCAGGCCAAACAAAGCCAGGAGCCAGGATCTCACTGCAAGTCTCCCTCTCAGGTAGCAGGCACTCAACCGTGAGAGCCGCCACCTGCTGCCTCCGACCAAGCACAGCAGCAGGAAGCTGGAATCAGAGTGCAGCTGGAACTCAAGCCCAGACACTCAAATCTGAGATGTGGGGGACCCAAGTGATGGCTTGACTGAAAGGCCCAACACCTACCCCTTGTCGTTTCGGTTATGGTCATTCTAAAGGATGTGCGGAGACAGCTCACTGAGATTTTAATTCGCATTTCCCTGATGATTAGTGATGTCCAGCATTTTTCATATACCCATTGGCCATCTGCAAGTCTTCTTTTCAGAAATGTCTCTTGAGGTCCACTACCAATCTTTTAGTTAGGCTGTTTCTTGTTACTGAGTTTCTTGTACATTTTGGACACTAACGGCTAATCGGAGGTATGGTACCTTTTCTCCCGATATGAAGGCTCTAACTCTTGACGATCCTTTGCCCATTTTTCTAACAATTTACGAGGGTTCTTTCATTATTAGCAGTTTTGACTATCTACCTGTCATACAGAACGTATGCTTCCCGCTACGACTGTCACTTGTCTTTTGTTTATGATAGCTACTTCTTCTTCATCTACAGCTGCAGTTAACGGTCGTCGGCATCTTTATTTCACGCTTTATCTCGGGAAAGAGAGACCCCAGCACAGTGCTGCAGGACAGGGCACAGGGTCCAGCCGCTGTCTTTGGGAAGGGAACGACTGGGTTCTCCATCACCTTGTACAGCCGCTGTCTTTGGGAAGGGAACAACTGGGTTCTCCATCACCTTGTACAGCCGCTGTCTTTGGGAAGGGAACAACTGGGTTCTCCATCACCTTGTACAGCCGCTGTCTTTGGGAAGGGAACGGCTGGGTTCCCCAGCACCTTGTACAGCCGCTGTCTTTGGGAAGGGAACGGCTGGGTTCCCCAGCACCTTGTACAGCTGCTGTCTTTGGGAAGGGAACAACTGGGTTCTCCATCACCTTGTACAGCCGCTGTCTTTGGGAAGGGAACAACTGGGTTCTCCATCACCTTGTACAGCCGCTGTCTTTGGGAAGGGAACGGCTGGGTTCCCCAGCACCTTGTACAGCCGCTGTCTTTGGGAAGGGAACGGCTGGGTTCCCCAGCACCTTGTACAGCCGCTGTCTTTGGGAAGGGAACAACTGGGTTCTCCATCACCTTGTACAGCCGCTGTCTTTGGGAAGGGAACGGCTGGGTTCCCCAGCACCCTGTAAAGACTCGCTCAGTGCCCTACCTGCGTTACTAAAGTGTCTCTTGTTGGGGTGACTGTAGTTATCTCTTGGGTGTCCATGCATCTGTGGGCCATGGGAGGCAGGCAAATGAGGCTTCTGCGGGTGAAGGCTGTGAGAGGTGTGGGACTGAGAGATCAGAGAGTCCCGGCTTGAGCTCGAGGCCTCTGGGCGAAACGGCTTCTTACCACCGGTCACGTCATCTTTCTTCTTCTGCTCCTGTAGAGTTAGAGGAAACCAAAGACGTTCAGGATCCCAGGCTCGACTCCCAGGAGCAAAATAAATAATAAATATCCCCTCCACTTCCTTCCTGGTTTCCCTGACTTGCACATGTCACTTACACCCTCTTACCAGAAAGAGCTCCCACGGCCTAGCAGGAATCCACGTGCTGAGCTCAACCTGCTGGGTCACTACGAGAAAACGCACCTCCACTGCCAGGTACGAGAACACCACACGGCTTGCAGCCGGTGCCTCGGCTGTCGGCACTCTCAGGGCGTGATCCTGCACTGTGCAAACCGTGAGCAGCACCTCTCCACGGCTCACCACAAACAACCCCACCAGACACCAAAGTCAGCAAGGAAAACCCTTTCAATGAATCCCACGCACACACACAGCAAACAGAAACACAAATACAGAGCGACCCAAAAACCTAACCACTGATGGATCTACTGATGATCATTTAGTCTATGGCTACTTTGTTTTTGTTTCTAGATTTTTTTACAACAAAAATTTTTTTAGCTCAATACGACAATCTTCCCAGGTGAATACTTATTCCTACAGTCCTACATTTAATGATTAAACAGTTCTCCCCAGGTGGATATATGATCTATTTAACTGTTTCTTACTGTTGTGTTTTATTTTTATTCATTCCCATTACAAATATGTTTACATCCTTAATTAAATCCTTAAATTGAGTTCTCAGAAGCAGAACTGCACATTTAGCTTCTCATCAAAGCTTGCGCAACTGTCCTCTAGACAGGCTGTGTGTATTCCCACTACTACAAGATCACCACTTCTGATATTCAACTTATACTGACTTCCGATAACTAAATTAAGCCTTTCACCATTACAAGGGTGCTTCAAAAAGTTAGTAGAAAATGGAAATGAAAGGTGAGCTTACTTTGGTGCAAAAAATTCTGAAAAGAACACAGTTTTTTCATGCTTCATATTTCTATGAGCCTTTAAATGCCCCCACGTGTCCACTGTCAGACCCTCATCCTCATTTTCACGTCCTCCTAAGGGCCTTCCCACCTGCTTCACCTCCTGAGCCTGTTCTTTTAGACTTCTTACAGCACGCTGGTCTGCAGGGACACCCAGCAGTAGCATGCAGCGTTCCCGTGTGTTGCTGCAGCAGCCTGTTCCTCCACACAAAGTTGACTGCCAGATACCTGAGGGCACAAGCACTTCTGAGCACCTGCCCTGTCCCTGGCACCACTCCACGGCACTGAGGACCCAGCAGTGGGGAGAGGACGCAGAATCCCTGCCCTCAGAGAGCAGGCAAGCTCGTGGAGGGGCTACCGAGTGTGCTCAGATGGACCCATGTGGCAAGTGGCAGCCCAGCGAGTGGGCGTGCCTGCACAGGGAGCCTGGCCTCTGCGGCTCAGCCAGGCCACGCCTTGCCATCCCCATTCCAGCGAAGGCGAGGCCACGAACGGACACTTCTCGGATTTGCTCCTGAAGCAGGCAGTTGAGATCTTTTTACGTACAAAGACTGGAAGGACAGCAAGGACATGGCCCAGAAAACAGCAAGAAAAGCATTGCCCACAACCCTGTTACCTATTAGGATCCCAATTTACTAAGCTACTGTAACCCATGTACAAATGGAAGAAGAGAAGACGTGGTGGAGAAATGACTCCAGGTCACAAGAACACACAGTGAGCTCTGTCAGAATGCAGCATAGTTTCACTTCTCCCACTAACACAGTCTTTGCTATGTGGCGACCGTGCGGCTAACCGAGTGACTACACACACTGCACTCGATAGGGTGGCTCCTTCTGTGGCCCACGGTAGCCACTGTCACCTGTCGTGGACCTGTGTGGCCATCTGTAAACAAAAGGGAAACGCCAGGGATCTCAGCCCCTCTGCAAGCCAGGGTTCTCTGACCGCCTCCCCAGGGAAGAACACTGGCTATGGAATTTTGTGCGTAATTGGTCTCATTTGTTGAACTCGGATTAAATCTGCATTTTACCTCCTCTTCTTGAGACCTTTTCTTATGAGCCATCTTGTATAACTTATGCAGTTTTCGGGCATCAAATTCTGTAAACTTGGAAACAAAAATCCACAGATTCCTAAAAGAAAAAAAAAGGGAAATTAACATTTACAGTGATTTACAGAATTAGAACAATGAGTTTTTATTCCCTTTACAGACAGCAAGCTACTGAATTTTGCTATGGAAAATCTATGTATAGAAGCCAAGTTGCAGGAAGACTCTTCCAGGTCACTCGTGCATGCTGTGCAGCTGAGTGATCAAAGGCTTAGAGACTGGGGTTCTGTTGACGACTAGACCCTCAATCCATATTCCTGGAAGCGAGAGCTCCCGTCCTCCAGGGTTCTCTGGACGCCGACCCACAGCCTGGGCTCGCACGCAGTGGCCCACCTTTCCTCCTACACATCACCACTACGGTCATTTCTTCCTGAAAACACCCAGGTCTCCCTCCCTGTGATTCCATTACACCTCCCCCAGCACGGCACCACTGTGCAACAGGGGAGCTCAGAAGCAGGCGACACAGGCAGTGCCACCACGCAGTGCCCCCACAGGACACCCTGACTGCATCGGGAGGGCGCGAGCCACCTCCCTGCCTTTCTGAGGCATCCCATAAAGGGCACCAGTCTTCGTAACAGACTGCTCTTAAACCCCGACTACCTCATGGTCCTAAATATGTCCAGCCTCTGCCGAAGCCCAAGACCACTGCCCACCTCAGGAATCCCACTCAGTGCCCCTGCCTGCGAGAAGAAGGCCTCTGCCCCAGCCCCCAGCCCCGCCCTGTGGGCACTGCCTTCTTGGCGCTCCTGCTGCGCCATCTGGCTCCACCACCTCATCTTCAGCTGGCAGTTCCGGGCGAGCTCCAGCTGCTCCTGCACCTCAATCCCCGTCAGGTTTGGTCAGCTCATACAGGATCGTACGTCTCATACCCAAACAGTATCTCAGTACTACTCTGCAACTCTCAAAAGGCTAGGACTGTGGCTTAGTGGGTGAGGCCGCTGCCTGCACTGCCAGCATCCCATAAGGGTGCCGGTTCGAGTCCCGGCTGCTCCACTTCTGATCCAGCTCCCTGCTAATGAACCTGGGAAAGCTGTAGAAGATGGCCCAAGTGCTTGGGCTCCTGCACCCATATGGGAGACCTGGAAGAAGCTCCTGGCTCCTGGCTTCAGATTAGTGCAGCTCCGGCCGTGGCGGCCATCTGGGGAGTGAACCAACGAAAGAAAGACCTTTCTCTCTCTCTTTCTCTCACTGTCTGTAACTCCACCTCTCAAATAAATAAAATCTTTGAAAAGAAAAATCCCCAGGTGCTCACGAAGCGCAGCGGAGCCCGGCCCTGCCCTGTGGACCCAGACCGGCGGCGACCAGGCGCTACCTCCTCCAGAGCTTGACGTGCTCCTGGTCCGAGTAGGCACGCAGGCACTCGGTGATGCGGTCCCCGATCTTCAGCAGGCAGTTCCGGGTGTGCTCCAGCTGCTCCTGCACGCTCAGGCCCTTGTCGGGTTTGTCCAGCTGTTTCAACGCCTTCTTCACGGGCCTCATCCTCTCCTTACACTGGAAAAGCCAACAGAGAAGACGCATGCAGGCATCCGCAGGAGCTTCCTGCCCTCATTACTGTGCACCAGCTGCCCACGGCACAGCCGACAGGGCCCCTCTCACCACAAAATCGCCCACGGTGGGCCGGCCCGAGCGGCTGCAGCGCCACAAGGCGGGTCCACGGCCCCGGCACACCCTGCTGAGCCTCTCTGACTGAAGTCTCCTCGTCTGCACAGGGCAGCACCTCAGAGGGCCTGCCTCGGCCTAGCCTGAGACAGCCCAGCACAAATCACCCAGAAACACAATGTGGAACGCCTACCAACCCTTCAGGCTTGAAGGAAAGGCTTCCAGATGAAAATCTTTTCCTCTCCTTCTCCAACCCCACCAAGACCACAGCGAAGGGGCTGTTTAGGAAGGTGAGCCCTCAAAGAGAAAACATGAGGAACAAGAGACTGGCAGCATGGGCCACGAGGTAACGGAGGAAACCCGACCCAGCAGTGCAGACAGCTGAGAACCAGCGTGACGCACACCACAAGACACCCCAGAGCCAGGTGTCTCTGCAGGTGCAGAGAGCCAAGGTCAACAGATACATCAGACGCAGACGCTTATTCGCTGGAGAAAATCAAAGAAAGGCCTGCTAGCTGGACACAGGCCAGGGTCAACTGGGCTACGTGATGAGTCATCGCTCGCTCCTCTGCCTCGGAATCCACAGTGAAGGCTGGGGGATTCTTGACAGAATGTGGCCACCTCCGAGGAAGAACCAAGACGGCAAGTTTCCCATCAGGCCACATCCGCGTGCTTGGGGCTTCCCGCCCAGCGTCCAGTGGCCTGCTCCTGAACACACTGACAACCCAGTGTCTTCTACCAGCACGCAAACACGCGGAGAGCCACAGCAAGAGAAGAGTCTTGGAGATAAAGCAGAGCGAGAGCAGCAGGAACTCAACGGGGGGCGAGGGCGGCCAGATTAAGCTAAGGGAGCTTCCTAGGAGGCAGAGCAAAACGCAGAGAAGGAAAATGAAAGACAGAACTAGGAACCAACCCCACAGTCTAACAGCCCAAAACAAGAATTCCAGAGACAACCCTGAGAACCCAGGGCACGTGTGGCCTCTGCCTGTTGCTGTGTGCGGAGGATCTGTGCACGTCTCAGTGCCACACTTCAGAGACACAGAGTCTGGAAAATGTCTGAGAGGACTATAACAAACAAACAAACAAACAAATCAGTGCCGAGAGTGTATTAAAGATCTCAACAGAAAAATTTAAGAAAAGACAAAAGGGCCAAATAGGTAAAGGATGTGCACACGTGAGGCACTGGAACACGCATGCCCGATAAACAGGAAAAGAGCATTCCAGCTGCACCGCAGAGCCCTCAGACTGGCAGAATGTGGGCAAGAGACGACCAGCTGGGCTGCGCTCCAGAGAGCGGCTGGCTTACCTCGCCTCCCAGGCAGCAGGCACGCACCCGGCCACACCCCCTGAAGGAGTTGCACACACACACACAGGACACATCCGCAGTGACTTCGCCACAGCCTGTCTGCAGCAGAGCTGGAAAACCCCAAAGCCCATCAATATGAAATGAGCCAGGAAGTCCAAAACAGAAGGACAGGAAGCACTGAAATCACAGCCACAATACCCACACGACGAAGTCAGACACTAATGCTGAGGGAGGACAACCTCACAGCGGCCACTCGCACGGCTTCACGGCATGGACAGCCGTGCCGGGGGCTGTGCTGCACAGCAGGTAAGGACCCGAGCTCTCAGGCCAAACTGGGTCAGAACTCTGTTGGGTGACAGAGGCCGTGCCCCTTACTCCCTCCCTTGTTTCATACGGAACGTGGAGCAAGGCCCGCCCAGGGTCACTGTGGAAGCACGCACAGCGCCTGGCTGCGGAGCAGAACTCACACCACACACAGGCCCAGCATCAAGGCTGCTGAAGGGAGGGAGGGACGCCGGGGCCTCGGGAACGGGACACTGCTCCTGCCGGCTTCAAAACTCAGATCTGACCGCTTCATGGCACCAATGCCTGTTACAAGAGTACTTTGAAAAGTCTGTGGAAGATGGGACTAAAAGTTTATTTTGGTGCAAAAAACTTTGAAATTCATGCATGATTTTTCATAATACGCATTTTTGGAGAATTTTTTGAGGACCACTCATATATTCCTGAATGTTTTCAGTACATTTAAAGATTTTACAACAGAAAAACAAGGGAGGGGTCGGCACTTGGGTCTGAGACCCAACTCTGATTCTGGTTCCAGCCTCCTGTCAATGCAGAGCCCGGGCAGGGGAGGTCATGAATCAAGGAACAGTGCCTCTGCCAAAGACGTGGGAGCACGGACTGAGACCCTCGTGGGCATCTGGGGAGTGGACCAGCAGACAGGAGCTCACTGTCTCCCGCTCCGCCTCTAAATAAGCACAATCTAAAAACAAAAATAAAGTCAAAATGAAACAAATCTATAAAGAAAAGTAGCATTAGCTATTATTTTAACACTGAGGGGCGCTGTGGCATAGTAAGTAAAGCCACCGCCTGCAACGCTGGCATCCCATGTGCCAGTTTGAGTCCCGGCTGCTTCACTTCCGATCCAGCTCTCTGCTGTGGCCTAGGAAAGCAGCAGAAGATGGCCCAAGAGCTTGGGCCCCTGTAGCCACGTGGGAGACCCAGAAAAAGCTCCTGGCTCCTGGCTTTGGACTGGCGCAGCTCTGGCAGTTGCGGCCATCTGGGGAGTGACCAGCGGATGGAAGCCCTCTCTCTCTCTCCCTCCCTCTCTTTCTCTCTCTTTCTCTCTCTGCCTCTCCTTCTCTTTGTGTAACTCTGACTTTCAAATAGATAAATCTTTTAAAAAATGAACAAAGGAAAAACCAGGAAACAGGTGAGGCAGCCAGCTATGTCATAAATTCATGCACTTACTTCATTTACTCATTTATTGACATACTTCTAGCATCTAAATGGTCTTTATATATAAAACAAAATATTTGCCCTCAGAGAGCTCACAGGAAGAAAATAGAATTAAGAAAACTGGGATAGTGAAAAAGAGAAAAGCACTTATACTTCTGTGTCTAGGTTTTACGGAACACAAAGGGGAGGGGCCACATTATGGCACAGCAGGCTAAGCCAAGGCCAGCATCCCATACTGGAGCGCCAATTCAAGTCTCAGCTGCTCCACTTCCTATCCAGCTCCCTGCTAATGCGCCCAGGAAAGCAGAGGAAGACAGCCCATGTCCTTAGGCACCTGCACCCACAAGGGAGACTCGGAGGGAACCGCTGGCTGCTGGCTCCAGCCTGGCCCGGACCTGGAGGTTGCAGTCGTTTGATAGTAATCTCTTTGTCTCTTTTTCTGTTCTTCCTCTCTCTGTTGCTCTTTCAAATCAATCAATCTTTTAAAAAAAGAGCAAAAGAAAGGAGCACTTACAGGATGGAGCCAACACTCTGCCCTCGCGGCCACAGGATGGGGGCATGTTCAGATCTGGAAGATCACTTTTCCTTTAAGTCTGAAGGAATTATCGGAGTGAACTGTGAAGTTTGGGGACAATACGAAGCCACAGAGGGAGGGAGGGCCACATGATAACCTCTGTGCCCACAGCTCCAGCCAGGGTTCAAGGGGCCTGAGGACTCTGGCCTGCACCAATCCCTGCAGACACCTGGTCCCTACGCCGTCCCGCCCCACGTGAGGAACAGAGCGGCATCCCCTAGGCAGTGCCCCGGCTCTCAGCACAGGCATGGAAGCAAACAACCTCCAGGACCCGGCCTCCGCCCACGGTGGGGCCGCTCCAGCTCCCACAGGCCTTTGGGCGTGCTCTTCCCTTCCGTCTCTTCCGTCATCTTTCACTTTCTTCGCAGCCCAATTCAAAACATCACTTCCCTCAACACGCCTCCCTGACAGCTCCTGACCAGGTCAACCCCCTCTCACAGTCCCTCTGCAGGACGCCATCTCTCCTCCATGGCACCAGCGCGATCTCTGGAGTCATCTCACACGCCTCCCTCCCCCCCGCACGTAAAATCTCCAACCACACAAAGGTATTTATTTAACATGGGAACTCTGCAGATGACACGGCCAGTAAGCGCCAGCTCAGGGACGTGTCTGCCTCCTAAATGCCTCTTGGGGCCTCTGCCGCCTTTCCACCCAGGAGCACAAGACAGGAAATCCGGCCCCTAGGCTTCTGCTCACTGCAGAGCAAGTTAGCAAACCGCCTCCGTGCCATCCTGCATCTGAGCACGCGGCCTTCAGCTACAGAGATGTGCTTCCAAATTCTCCCAAGGGTGCTGCGGCTGCACCGGCAGCAAGGGGGGCCCAGCGAGCATCGCAGCTGCAGACCGGCGCCCCAGCCCCAGACGTACTATGCTGAATGTCTCCTGGTCCAGATCGTCTTCCTCTTCCTCTCCAATGGGGACGGGCTCGCTTCCTGCTGTAATATGGACAGGACCCTGAGATCGCTTGGATTTACTCGAAGATTTGGCATCACCACCTTTGGGCTTTAAGAGGAAAACAAAAAGAGTACAAGGAAACATCGCCATGTGTGCCCTCGGCCTTGCAGCCTGGACTCCGCACCCACGCTGCACTACTCTAGCGGGCCAAGTCCTCTGAGACAAACTCGCGTGAGTAACAGGCTAACTGCACATTGTCCCCACTGTCACAACGCTGATTTTACCAGTGCTAGTGTAGGCTTCTATTCCTTCATCTATAACGTGCGCAGACGGGAGGATTACCGACTGGCAGAGGATCAAGTATTTATCAAGAATATATCAAGACTCTTATTTCAGTTTACTCTTTCATCTGGAAATTAGTACCAACTAAGCTAACAGCATACTTTAGTCTAAGAGTAAAAACACGGTCAGAGCAGTGGACTACGGTGGGGAGAAAGGAGGAAGAGTAAGCTTCGGCAGCATCGGTGAGTGTCTGTAAAACCCAAAACCCACCGGGCAGAAACCGAAAGTCGGCTGCAGTAAACACGGATGGCTCTCAGCAGCCGCAGTATCTGGACAGTAGTTTAGTTGGCTAAACTGCTCTTTGTGCTTTTTTAAAAAGTTTCATTTTAAAAAAAGAATTTCTGTAGGAGTACAAATGCCAAAGCATTTGTCACAGTATAGCTTATGACATCAGAAACTGGAGGCCGGCGCCGCGGCTCACTAGGCTAATCCTCCGCCTAGCGGCGCCGGCACACCGGGTTCTAGTCCCGGTCGGGGCGCCGGATTCTGTCCCGGTTGCCCCTCTTCCAGGCCAGCCCTCTGCTGTGGCCAGGGAGTGCAGTGGAGGATGGCCCAGGTGCTTGGGCCCTGCACCCCATGGGAGACCAGGAAAAGCACCTGGCTCCTGGCTCCTGCCATCGGATCAGCGCGGTGCGCCAGCCGCAGCGCGCCAGCCGCGGCAGCCATTGGAGGGTGAACCAACGGCAAAAAGGAAGACCTTTCTCTCTGTCTCTCTCTCTCTCACTGTCCACTCTGCCTGTCAAAAACAAAAAAACAAAAAAACAAAAAAAAAAAAGAAACTGGAAAGCGATTTTAATGTAGAAGCTTTAAACTGCTTCCAGAATGTTACCACAGCCACACGGAAGCTTCCCTGTTGACTCACTCAGAGAGCTGTTTGCACACTGCTAAGTAGGAAGACAAAAGCTCCCCAAACAGTGTGACCTGGTCTTCATTTTGCATGCATATGCGTAAGAGAAAATGACAGACAGATACATCAAGGAATCTGGGGTGTCACTGAGCAGCAGAATTGCTATCTGGACGTCTTAGCAGTGACTATGGACTAACTGCGTAAGTTTCTTTCCTGGGGCGGCGCTGTGGCGCAGCAGGAAAAGCTGCCTGCTACAGGGCCAGCATCCCACGTGGGCACCAGTTCCAGACCCAGCTGCTCCACTTCCATCCCAGCTCTCTGCTTTGGCCTGGAAAAGCAGTAGAAGACGGCCAAAGATGGCCCAAGTCCTTGGGCCCCTGCACCCACATGGGAAGGCCCGGAGGAAGCTCCTGGCTCCTGGCTTCAGATTGGTGCAGCTCCAGTCATTGCAGCCAATTGGAGAGTGAACCAGCAGATGGAAGATCTCTCAATCAATCAATCAATCTCTCTCTCTCTCTCTCTCTCTCTCTCTCTCTCTCTGCCTTTCTTTGTAACTCTGACTTTCAAGTAAATAAATAACTCTTTGGAAAAAAACCAGAAGTTTCTCTGCCACAAATCCGCAAGCATGCACCACCACTATACTACTCCTGGGGTCTGTACTGAACTTCACAAACCCCAAGCGTGAAGATGAAGTTAACAGCAACGCTTTTCATTTATCTCTACCTCAATAACTCTTGCATATTTTAAGTTCCACAAGTTTCATCTATTTCCTTTATACCTCAATAACTCTTGCTATAACATTCATCTGGAATCTTCCACTCTTCAAATATGCAAATTCACTTGCGAATTGTGCTCTTCTAACGTGAATCTCAGCACATCTTTCAAGCAGTTACCCATAAATGCAGATTCCTCTCACCTGGTCTAGCTCGTGGACACAAGCCCTGGAAATAGGCAGTAGCAGCTAGGTGAGGCCCCTCTATGGAAGATCAACCACATCTGCAAGTCCTCTCCTTTCTCCGAGGACGAGCATGGGACATGCCTCCCTTCTACAGCCTATCCCTTCTTCTTGGCTGCACCCACAGGAAGAGACAATTATTCCAGGGCCTGCACCCCATGCCACTTCTAAATCGCACAGGGACCTCGCAGGCTGTAAGGAGGACGCGTCAATACCTTCTCTTTCTTCTCTTTGGACTTCTTCCTTTCCTTGTCCCCTTCTTTGTCTTTCCTGGAACTCACTTGTTTCTCCTTGTTCTCCTTGTTCTCTTTCTTCTTCTGTTTTTTCTTCATTGGACTTTTTTCTAAGCCATCATCCTAGGGAATGAAGAGCGCTATGAATGTTTGCCACAAACCTGCTATCAACTTGTGCAGAGCGCTGCCCCAGGCTTGTCCACAAGCTGATTTTCAAGCACACGGCCTTAACTCTCAACTCTCCGGTGTTCACCAGGTAAGCCTGGACAGACAGGCACTCTCTTCTGCTCCCGCTCATCTAATTTTCACAGCAACCCCTCAACACAGGCATTCACTCCTGTTTCACAGGTGGGAAGCTGAGACCCAGGGAGATGAGTAACAGACACGCCTGCTGGTAGCTGGATTCGTGTGTGTGGGACTCAAGCCCGCCGAAGTTCCCGCACCCCTGCGGACCCTCTCTGAGCTCATCTCAAAGCACTATTACACGGTAAGAGTTAATGAAACAGGATTCCATAAAGCTGCCTTTAACTGTAACAACACACGGAACTACACCAACTTATGTTCATTCCACTTAGACTAGAGGCCCTGGGCCAAACCCGACCCACAGAGCTGCTCTTGGTCCAACAGTTACGTGATTGTCCCCTTTACGTCAGTCACGAGCCCTCGCTCCCTGCTCAACCACAGTCCTCACCATCCCCACTGCACCACAACAAGCTAGACTCAGTGTCTACCACGCATGCTCCCTGGTTCCCTTGCTTAGTAACATTGTGTACGGATCTGCAGGGCTGACGTAAATGAACAACTGGAGGCCTCTCTGACAGAGTAAGCAAAGTCCGACACACTCTGTGTTCACTGTGGCTACTACGTGCAAGCCAACACATTCCACGTGACCACACACCCGCTGCACAATCAACACAGCCAGAGAGACCCCGGCCCCAGCTGAAAGCCAGCCTCACACCTTCACTTCTCCCTCTTCCGAAGGGTTGTCCGAGTGCCTGGGGGACGAAAACTCTGCCCCGGGCTCGTCCTTTGGCCGCGGCGCCTTGTTTTCCTTTTTCATTCGAGGCTTGCGCTTCTTTAATTTGGCCTGGAAAGGGAGAGAAACGACAACGCAGCTACAGCTTGTGCCTCAAGGGCGTGACAAGAGCACCAGCACCTCTGAGGCAGCAGCACGGAGTGCACACGAGAACACTCGGAGATCGGCAGCGTGAGCCTCTGCATCCCCAGCACCACTAGACGCAATGCTCCCTGAACCTACTGACTCAAGATTTTGGAATTCATCCTAAATATATAATTTCTATGAAGGGAAAAAAATCTTTGTGTTCAAAAATACAAACACACTGAACATCAGAAACATTAAAAAAGTTAGAAACAAGCAATAAATATTGTCTATTCACTCACCCCCATGATCCACCACTCTGACAAACATAAACACAGCCTACTCCATGTCTCCAGAGCCTAACGTGTACGCTGCCTGCTCACCAGGCTGCCTGGAGAACCACGCTGCACCTGGACCACAACGCCACACAGCAAAAGGCAAGGTGGGATCAGGGAGATCTGTTTCCCCTAAAATTTACTTGTTTGTAATACAGAGAAATAAATTCAAATGCTCTGGCTGTAAAAGCACTTAGGAAACACACACACACCAAGACTGCTTAGCATAGGGCCTAACTTGGTGCCTCCCAACTGTGATTCTCCACCTCTCTAGGCCTGAACTGAACCGATCAAGTGGGAAAACAGCAAATACAGCTCAGAAGGGTGCACCAGCAACTCAGCTGGTACTTACCACTGAGTAAGATAACAACTCAAGTGCAGTTTCTGAATGAATCCACTATGGATTCCAACTGAACACTCTGTCCCTGCAAGCAGCCCAGAGTCCGAGGGAACCACAGGCACCGCCGGTCCTCAGTGTGCTACCAGAACTGTGTCCAGGTCAAGTAACACTGATCATTTCTATCACCACCAACCAAACCCTCTTCCTGGAAGCTCACGGGACACACGGAACCCTGAGAGCGCAGCATCCTGCCCGGGCCCAGGCTGTGCCTCTCCCGACTCCCCACCCGCGGCCCGAGGAGCACACAGCGGGCAGCACACTCACCTCCTCCCCTCCTGTCACGGCCCCCTTCTTCTCCAGACCCTTCCGGAGCAGCTTCAGCAAGTAGTCCGCTCGGGTCTGCAGCTGCTTGCCCTGGGGCTTTTTATCTGTCTCCACGGGCAGAATCTTCAACAGGAAAGGAGAGAAGCACACGCCACCACCCACAGCCCAGTTAGTGGATCAGGACAAAGAGACAACGCACTCAGCACGGTCCTTCCCACCCCAGCCACCCGAAACACGATACAGCCTCCGATCCTAGCTCATGTCATGGCTCCCAGACACTGCAGGTCCCTCTCGAGCTGTTCTCATCGCACAAATGGGGTGGAGAAATGCAGCTCTCCCACTGGCTCCTACCTGTGCTGTTAACAGGGTAGAACAACTCAGGTAGGAGGGGCTTGTGGCTCCATCTGCTAGAGATCCCAGCCGTCGTGGATTTCCTCCTTCCAGGAGCAGGGACTCCCTGGAGCTAGGTTAAAGCTTCGATTTAGATTGAAAATGCTTCTAGAGCATTGCCGGAAAGCACTGAGCTCTGTCAGGATGGGACCATTCCTGCTACCGCAGGCGGACCTCTTGGATTCGGTCTCAGTGCCTGAGGCTGGGTGCTGTCACCCTCCTAAACCCAGATGGGATGAGCATCGTTTGACGTGCCAGGAGCACCACAGGGAGTGAATCCTACTGCAGTCTGAGCCAGTCAGCTTTCCTTGCTCTAACCATGGCGTTGCTACTTCAACAGACAGGGTGGGAGGCTCGATTTTGTGGGAGAAGTACAGCCAGTGTTTAGTTCCACTACAAAAAACACCAAGGTCACGCTCCTTTTCTTCGTGTTAAAGACTGAAACATGATCGTTTCAAATATATTTTAAACAAAGTGCCAACAGCGGAGGCCAGAGAATGCTTTTATTAATTAAAAGCAAAACGCCCCTGGTATTTGCTGTAATGAGGTCTGACCTACAATAGCTATCAGCGCACTCAGAGTTCTCCTCTCTCGTCCCAGAAGTCGCACCTGCTACTGCCCTTCCCTTGATTCCCATCCATGAAGCGGTGCCGCAGTCCACCAAAGACGCTAACACACTGTCCCGGAAATGTGCTATTGTGCCGATTTCCAATTTAGTTAAAAACAGTTTAAAGTACGTGATCAATATAACAGTACTGCAAAATAAATCTTGCACAGAAATATCTAGCGCCACAGCAGCTTACTTTGTCGGTGAGCTTGAGCTCTGGGTCTGTCTTAATCAGCTCCCAGTTTCCATAGCCGTGCTCATAAATCCCCAGCAGCAGTCGAGAGTCATCCTCCACGCCCCACTCCACGTCGAAGTGCGCAGCTTTGACGCGGCAGGTCAAGCAGTACCTGGGGTGCGAGTGAGGACAGAGAAGAGGGCGGCGCGGACACATTAGAGCAGAGATCACGAGAACCACAGGCAGCCGCACCGACTGAACTCCGGCTGTCTTCTCGTGGCTGACTACCCACGACAGACCCAAATACACTCACTTTTTTTTTTCTTCAGGGTCCACCGGGATAGATTTGTGCAGCATTTCAAATTCTTCTTCATGCTGGATAATGGATTTCACATTAACCTGAACTCCAGATATCTTGATTGTTGGGCCTCTCCTTTTCCCAGGTCCTTTCCCTAAAGAATATCAATGCCACATTAGTTAAGCACAAATTTGGTAAGGGGCTGGCACTGTGGCCACGTGGGTTAAGCCAACACCTGAGACACTGGCATCCCATATGGCATCAGTTCAAGTCCTCACTGCTCCACTTCCAATCCAGTTCCCTGCTAATAGCCTGGGAAAAGCAGCAGCAGATGGCCCATGTGTTTGGGCTCCTGTCACCCACATGGGAGATGTGGATGAACCTCCTGGCTCCTGGCTTCAGCCTGGCCCAGCCCTGGCCATTGTGGTCATGTGGGGAGTGAACCAGAGGATGGATGACCTCTCTATCTCTCTAACACTTTATTTTTTAAGAGATTTATTTTTATTTATTTGAAAGACAAAGTTACAGAGAGAGGTAGAGAGAGAGAGAGAGAGAGAGAGAGAGGTCTTCCATTTGCTGGTTCACTCCCCAGAGGACCACAACAGCTGAAGCTGCATTGATCCGAAGCCAGGAGCCAGGAGCATCCTCCAGGTCTCCCACGTGGGTGCAGGGGCCCAAGCACTTGGGCCATCTTCCACTGCTTTCCCAGGCCACAGCAGAGAGCTGGATTGGAAGAGGAGCAGCTGGGACTGGAACCGGCACCCACATGGGATGTCGGCGCTTCAGCCAGGGCTTTAACCCGCTGCACCACAGCACCAGCCTCATGTAACTCTGACTTTCAAATATATACACCTTCAAAAAAAATTCAGTTAAGATTTAGATTTTTAAAATGTTTAAATATTTATTTGAAAGGCAGAGTGACAAACATCTTCCATCTGCTGATTCACTCCCCAGATGGCCTCATCAGATAGGACTAGCCCAGAATGAAGACAGGCACCCAGAACTCCCGCATGGATGGCAGGGCGGCAAGTACTTGGGCCATCTTCCACCAGTTTCGCAGGTGCATTAGCAGGGAGCTGGACTGGAAATCGAGAGGTCTGGACTCAAACTGAAGCTCATTTAGGATGCCAGTGATACAGGCAGCTCCTTAACCCACTGCACCACAAGGCCAGCCACGATTTTAGGATTTAAAAAAAAAAAAAAAAAAATGCTGTGGTTTATAACTCTTAATCTTTCTGTTATACTAACCTGCGTTCTTAAATTAATAAAAGATGACTCTGAATGCATATTTAAAAATTCAGTGTTTGGGGCCGGCGCTGTGGTATAACAGGTAAAGCCACCACCTGTAGTACTGGCATCCCATATAGGCTCCAAATCGAGTCCCAGCTGCTCCACTTCTGATCCAGCTCTCCACTATGGCCTTGGAAAGCAGTAGAAGAGGCCCAAGTGGGAGACTCAGAAGCAGCTGCTGGCTTCGGATCGGCCCAGCTCCAACAGTTGTGGCCATTTGAAGAGTGAATGAACGGATGGAAGAACTCTCTCTCTCTCTCTCTCTCTATCTGCCTCCGCCTCTCAAATAAATAAATCTTTTAAAAAAATTCAAGTGTTTTAAAAATAATTCATACTTGATTTTTGTAATAGTGCTACTGAGAAAGTTCAAGATCAAGTTGAGTGGCTGGCACTGGTTCATGCTGTGGCTGCTCCACTTCCGATCCAGCTCCCTGCTAACACCCTGGGAAAAGCAGTAGAAGATGGGCCCAGTGTTTGGGCCCCTGCACCCACGGAGACCTGGATGAAGCTCCTGGCTTCGGCCTGGCTCAGCCCTAGTCATTGTGGCCATTCGGGGAAAGAACCAGCAAACGAAAGACCTCTCTTTCCGTCTCTGTCTCTCTCTAACTCCGACTTTCAAATAAATGTCTTTTTCAAAGAAATCAAGTTAACATCTAGCACATTTGAAAAAATAAAAGGTGGCACAAAAAGGTACTGGAACCCAAACTTAAAATGTAAATGATCCCATAAGAAGCAAAAATGAAATCCAATCATTCCAACCAAAGAACCTAAGATGAACCCACAAGATAATCCCACCTGCTCATTTCAAGAAAAACGAGGGGCAGGCACTGAGGGCAGCAGGCTAAGCCCCTGCTCGGGATGCCCACATCTCATATGGGAACACTGGTGTGAGCTCCAGCTACTCTGCTTCCAATGCAGCCTCCTGCTAAGGCATCCTGACAGTGCCTGGGGCCCTGCCTCCCACATGGGAAATGGGACAGAGTTTTGAGTTCCTGGCTTCAGCATGGCCCAGCCCCGCTGTGGGGGCATTTAGGGAGTGAACCAGTGGATGGAAGTGTTCTCTCTCTCTCTCTCTCTCTCTCTCTCTCTCTCTCTACCTTTCAAGTAGATGAAAATACTTTTTTTAAAAAACAAAGAGATATGATTTCTTCCCTAAACATTTGACAATATTCATACATTCCTTGAGGCCTACCCACAAGCACCAGCAAACACTGTGGTGGCAACGAGAACGGCACCAGCCTGATGCAAGGGAATCTGGCAATATCGAAGCAAAGCACACCTCCAAGTCCTCAGGACCCTGCAATCCCACTCTGGAATACAAAATCCTGAACTGACATCTGTCTACACGGCGGGTGCTGCAACTAACTCAGAGGAAGGAGGAGGACCTCCAGGACAGACAGAGGGATCTCTGCTGTCAACATCAGCAGCTGCGCGACAAGCTCTCTCGTGTGGAGGAGAAATGCACATTCACACGCATGCCTGCCCACTAAGATTTATCTTGTGTTTTTGCAAGGCAGAGTGACAGAGAAGGAGAGATAAGAACTGCAAGTGGGCCAGCCAGGACTCAAACTGGCACCTCCGTATGGCATGCAGTCATCCCAAGTGCTGACTCAACCTACTGCACCACAACGCTTGCCCCTCAAGAAACTATACAAACACGGTGCTTTCCAGCATCCCGTTAGGCACCAGCCCAAGCCCAGGCTGCTCCACTTCCCATCCAGCCCCTTTCTACGGCCTGGGAAAGCAGAAGATGCCCGTCCTTGGGCCCCTACATCCACGTGGGAGACCTGGAAGAAGCTCCTGGCTCCCGGCTTTGGTGGGCTCAACTCTGGCCATTGCAGCCATTTGGGGAGTGAAACAGCAGATGGAAGACCTCTCTCTCTCTCTCTTTCTCTCTCTCTCTCTCTATATATATACACACCTCTCTCTAAAACTCTTAAAAATAAATAAATAAAAAAAAAAAAACCACAAACAAAACCCACAGTGCTTTCACTGTACATTGTTACTGGGATGTATTCTACTGTTAACAGTAACACTGGGGGGGGGGGGGGCAGTGCTGTGGTGCAGCGGGTTAACGCCCTGGCCTGAAGCGCCGGCATCCCATATGGGCACTGGTTCTAGTCCTGGCTGCTCCTCTTCCGATCCAGCTCTCTGCTATGGCCTGGGAAAGCAGTGGAAGATGGCCCAAGTCCTTGGGCCCCTGCACCCGTGTGAGAGACCTGGAAGAGGCTCCTGGCTCCTGGCTTCGGATCAGCACAGCTCTGGCCGTTGCAGCCATCTGGGGAGTGAACCAGCAGCTGGAAGACCTCTCTCTGTTTCTACCTCTCAGTAACTCTGTCTTTCAAATAAATAAATCTTTTAAAAAACCAGTAATACTGGAATTAGTATTTGGAGATGTATGTGCACAAGTACACTGTGGGAGTCAAGCTAATACATAATTATGGTAACGATTTTAGGAACAAAGATCTTCAGCTTGAAGGGAGGGAGAGACGGAGAATCTTATACTGGAACTGAAAGTATCACTTGGGCTCAGAATATGCCAAATACCAATACAGGCAGAGACGACACAAGTTAATGCCAAACGGAATGCGCACGCCCACAGAAACAGGAGGAGGTGAAGACAGGGGCCATTAGCTGGGAGTGCCTCCAGAGCATTTGAGAGGTGGAAAAAGCATGGCACAGGTCAGTGTGCACTGCCCTCTATGTTTCAAAGGGAAAAAAATTATTTTCTTACACGTGAATTTTAAGATGTCTCAAAAATAGCAAGAACAGACATGGATCCATGTTGTCAGTACTGAAGAAGCAGTAAATGCATCACTTATTCAAAACAATAACAAAGAAAAATACTGTAACTTAAAAGTTTACTTTTTGCTGTGTTCTGGATGCTTCAACAGTACACAGGCCATTGTCCAAGCTCCTCAAGTTATTTTTCTTTTACAAAAAAGAAAACATATCTTTCAAATTTTTGACTACATTTAACATATTTCTAATTCCACTAATTTTATTAACATCCCTGAAAATTCCAAAGCACAAATATATCTTTAAATATTTGAACAGTAACAGCCAACACTGCAAGCCAGACGCTGCACTGAGCACCTGACAGGTATGAAATTTATTCAATTAACCATCCAGACCCTCGGAGCAAGTGCCACGGCTCCGTTCTGCAAGAGAGGTAACAACGGGATCTCAGGTGCCGTAGGTACCTCGTCCTGCTTCTGTGGGCATTCACTGCCTGCTTTGTAATGGCTTCCTTTCGGCATTAACTTGTTTCCTCTAAGCCTGTACTGGGAGCCGGCACATTCTGAGCCCAGGGTGCCACTTCAGCTCCAATATAAGATTAGTGATCTCTCTCCTCTCAAACTGAAAATTTTGATCCTAAATGGAACACAGGAAGTGACAGAACCAAAATTCCAGACAACTGGCTACCAGAATCGCCTGCACACTGAAGCACACTCAGCAAGGTCTCCGCAGGGCAGCCCGTCCTAGCAGTGCAAGGTGACAAGAATGTTGGAAACGGCACGGTACACACAGCCCGGAGAGCCGGAATGACACACCCTGGTGTCTGTGAAGTATCCTTTGACAGCAGCTATGTCAGAGCCCCGTCTCCTGCTTTGGACACGTCTCACAGGACAGGCAAAGACAATCGAAGGGACGGGCATCCAGCCTAGCAGCCGAGCTACTGGTTAGGATGCCTGGATCCCGTATCAGAGCCTGGGTTCAAGTCCTGGCTCTGCTCCCAATTCCAGCTTCCTCTCAGTACAGACCCTAGGACGACAGAGGCCAACCAAGTGTGTCCCTGCCACTGCCACAGAAACCTGGGTGAGCCCCCCACAACACCTGGACGAGCCCCCCACAACACCTGGGCGAGCCCCCCACGAAACCTGGACGAGCCCCCCACGAAACCTGGGCAAGCCCCCCACAACACCTGGACAAAGCCCCCCATGAAACCTGGACGAGCCCCGCCCCCCGCCCCCCCAGCTTCAGCCTGGCTCAGCCCCAGTCCTGCGGGCATCAGAGGGAAGAACCAGCATAGCAGTTTTGTCTCTTTCTCTCTCTGCCTCTCAGTACTTCTCCAGACAGAAAAAACTACTTGAAGATACATCCTTCATATCCAACCTGATTACTACAAATTCCAGAGGCATGAAAATCTCTGCCTAACATCTTATCTCACTTCGTTCTCTAAATCCTTTACCTTAGTCACAGCACAACATCATATGTACACCCACGGCCACCGACGATGCTGTGCTCTGTGAGACTAAAACCAGAGGTGTCCACCTGGCTTTGCCCCTCAGGTCTTCACAGCACTCCACCCAGTTTAGACTTTGCAGAGCAACACAGAAGAGACTGCTTCATTCTGCTGTCACCTTCCCGACACCAGCTGCATCTGGGTTCTGAGAACCCTGCGCTCACCGTCAGGCAGCTCAGACACACTCAAAGCATCGGCCATGTGTGAGATAAAGCGTGCTCCTTAGACGAGCCCTTCAGCGACAGACGCCGTCCGTGCGCGCCAGGCCCCGGGGACGGCCGACTCACCCTCGCCGGTGCTTTCTTTCAGCTGTTCTTCGTACTCCTGCATCGCGGACACACAGCTGTTGTGAATCAGCTCGCCCAGGCGTTTCAGATCTGCCACCGACTTGTCCACCAGCTCAGCGTCCCGCGCTATGCACTCCAGCCTGAGGACGCACAAACACGGGGACCGTGGAGGTGCCTGTGCCCATCTGCTAAGGTCACAGAAGGGACCGCAGTCTCACATACAAGACCCCTCTCTAGTTTCCTGTGTTCACTCCACGGTTCTAACAACCACCTTGGGGCAGTGACTAGAAGCTAATACAATCATTTTCCATCACAAAGAACTGTGTCTTGGGAATATCCCACAAAACAAAGTAATTCCAAAAAACACAAAGGAGAGGGTTCAACTGAGTGTATTAAAAAAATGGGCTTGGGGCTGGCACTGTAGCTTAGTGGGTAAAGCCGCCACCTGCAGTGCTGGCATCCCATATGGGCACCGGTTCGAGACCCAGCTGCTCCACTTCCGATCCAGCTCTATGCTATGGCCTTGGAAAGCAGCAGCAGGTGGCCCAAGTCCTTGGGCCCCTGTACTGCATGGGAGACCCAGAAGAAGCTCCTGGCACCTGGCTTCGGATTGGCCCAGCTTCAGCCATTGCAGCCATTTGGGGAGTGAACCAGCGGATGGAAGATCTCTGTAACTCTGTAACTCTGCCTTTCTCATAAATAAATAATCTTAAAAAAAAAAAAAACCAACAATGGGCTGTCTGCTAACAGAGGTACAGTGCTGAAGGCTGCCTTTCTCCAGCCTCCTTCCCTCACTGGTGTTCCTGAGTGGCCTCTGCAGCACGGCCACGTGACCTCCAAGTCACAAGGAAAGCTGAACACGACCACTCAACAGCAAGCTGTCGAAGAGGCCACATCCACTCCCCAGTTCTGCTGGTTTTCATGGTGACCCGCTCAAAGAAAGGCGCTGTCATTTCCTTCCACTCCAGAAATTCACCAGGAGTAAGAGAAGGGAAGCGGACATTTCCTTCAAATCTGTTCTACCGATTACAGGATGTACTGCTGATGTTGTAAAGCAGAATATGACCCTTTCTGAAACAGGGCCTCTGTTAAAACCCAACTCTGACTTCCTTGATCGAAGGCTCATGAACTCCCTTTAGGAAGTGACTACTGGCAAGGTGAGACTAGCTCTTTACGTTTAATGTCCAAGGTACCCTGTTCATTAATAGACAACAGAATCACGAGGGGCCTCTTAGCCTGGATATTTCTGAGTCTACGGACCAGCATGCGCACAGCAACCACACATATTCTTGTGGGAGTGCTCCCTTCACGCCAGCGTGGAATGGACTATTCTTGTGGGAGTGCTCCCTTCACGCCAGCGTGGAATGGACTATTCTTGTGGGAGTGCTCCCTTCACGCCAGCGTGGAATGGACTACTCTTGTGGGAGTGCTCCCTTCACGCCAGCGTGGAATGGACTACTCTTGTGGGAGTGTTCCCTTCACGCCAGCGTGGAATGGACATGCTGCGTCTTCCTTGTGAAGGTAACCTCTTGCAGGCACAGCCTGTCTCTATCTGTTACCCCTCTGCAGAAGGCCAGGCACAAACAAGCACACAGCATGTATGTGTTTGGAAAAAAATGTTTCTAGAAAGAAAAATGCTCCCAGTATTAGTATTCAGAGGAAAACACCACCAAGAGAACCTGCTATATGAAGAAGCAAAGGAGGAAGACATGGGACTATCACTGAGCTTACCTTTCAAGAGGGAGACCAAACTTCTTGTAAGCCTTGATGAACCTAAGAATATGACCAAAAAGTCACATTAGAAAAGAGGCTTTACAGTGGAGGATGGCCCAAGTGCTTGGGCCCCGCACCCGCATGGGAGACCAAGAGGAAGCACCTGGCTCCTGGCTTCGGAGCGGTGCAGTGCACTGGCCAAGCAGCCATTTGTGGGGTGAACCAATGGAAAAGGAAGACCTTTCTCTGACTAACTCTGCCTGTCAAAAAAAAAAAAAAAAAAAAAGAGGCTTTAGCTATCTTAAGGCAAAAATATTCTGTGATGAAACGCGCACCATACAAACTGTCATAAACAGACTGGGCCCAATCCTTACAAATCAGTAGATGTTACATGTTTTTGAAACAAGGTGGTTTAAAATAATGCTAAAGATCTACTCAAATTAAAGAACAACTTTGCTCCAAGCGACTCAGGATGAAACTGCTCCGAGACATAACAGAGGGCTGCACCTCCACTCCACCGCCTTAGAAGGCACAGGCTTATGGAGCCCGGGATGTAACAATGGGGGCAGGCATCCGGCCTAGAGGTCAGGACACCTGTGTCCCGCAGACAAGTGCCGGGCTCTGGCTCGGGCCCCTTCCAGCTTCCTGCTGATGGCCACACAGAGAGGCAGCAGGGACGCCTCAAGGAACTGTGTTCGAGCCACTCGTGTGGCAGACCTGGACTGGGTTCTCAGCTCCCAGCTTAAGGGCATCTAAGAAGTAAATCGATGGATACACCCTGTCTCTCTGCCTCACAAACAACTTTTTAAATGCAGTGAATGACTCCATCACAACTCGATTATGATGAAACCTGGATTGAGGTTCACTGACCCCCCCAGCCCACTTGCATCACCTGCAGTGCCCGCTGCAGTATTTTTCATTATTTTCTGGTCAGTGATCCAGCTCCAAGATTTTCTGGACCATCTCGTGCTCGCCTTTGGAATGAGGCAGAGTAAAGCAAGTAGGTCTTATTTCTTGGGGCCAGTGTGGTAGGTTAGCCCTCCACCTGCAGTGCCGGCATCCCATACGGGCACTGGTTTGTGTCCCAGCTGCTCCTCTTCCAATCCAGCTTTCTGCTAATGGCCTGGGAAAGCAGTGGAAGATGGTTCAAGTGCCTGGGACCCTGCACCTGTGTGAGAGACCTGGCTTCTGGCTTTAGGTTGGCCGAGCTCCAGCTGTTGCAGCCACGTAGGAAATTTACCAGGGGATGCAAGACCTCTCTCTCCGTCTCCCCCTCAGTCTGTAACTCTGCCTCTCAAATACATCTTTAAAAACATTTTATTAAGCAAAATTATTTTTAAAACTGGTGCTTCCTCCTGTCCAACTGTGTCTCCAACCAAAAACCCAATCTCTCCACCCCCAAGTCTCTCCCCTAAGCCGTGCCATTTGCCCTCATGCCCACAGGTCATGCCATCTGGTGCTTTCCTCTCCCCCACCCTCACAAACTCACCACTGGCATTTTCAGTAAAAATCACGTCACAACACAAAGGACATCACTGTAAAATGTCAAATCATGACAACAAGCTGGTTCATGACACAAAGAGATCTGAGGACACAGTGCCTGAACACTGAGGGAAGAGCGAGCACACGATGGTTGGGAACGTGCTCAGTGGGGCTGGCGCTGCAACACCGGCAGTCCCCATGGGAGCAGGTTCACGTCCTGGCTACTCTACTTCTGATCCAGCTCCCTGATAATGCAGTTGAGATAAGCAGCTGAAGATGGTCCAAGTCCTGAGGCCCCTGCACCCACGTGGGAGGCCCAGATGAAGCTCCTGGCTCTGGCCCAGTCCTGGCCATTGCAGCCATTTAGGGAGTGAACAAGTGGACGGAAGATCTCTTTCTCTCTCTAACTGTGCCATTCAAATAAATAAAATAAATCTTAAAAACAAAGAGATTGGCCCTGGGGGTTAAGCCTTGATGCTACTCTTCTCCTCTTGATACACACTGAAATGTCTGATGCACGCAGTAACACGATGCGGAGATCCACTCAGAAGTAACACTGGCGGGAGAAGCACTTCTGGAATGGTGGGATAAGGGGATTCGCAACTCTGCTCCTCGACACAGCAAGAGCAGTGGACTTGTTGGAGTCGGGAATCAAACAAAGGCTTGAGGCCATCCAAGAGGCACTGACTTGTTCAAGAAAATGGCCAGTGTGGCTGATGAGTGCCCTCTGCTGCCCTAAGCGCCTTTCCCAGCCCCACGACAGCAACTGCTGCTGCACTGGCGACCAGCAGCCTGGCAGCCTCTGCAGGGCTCAGCGTGGGCCTGCAGCTCCCCACAGGCCCTTCCCCAGAGAGCCGCACTATCTCATCTTGGGCCTGCCTTTATGTGAACTGACTCAGAACCCACCCGTGTGAGCAACCCTGCCCACAGTCCACCGACCGGTCAGAAACACTGGGATGCAACATCACAGCGGCTTCAGGCATCATGACCAACTGGGATAACGAGCAGTTGACCCAACACTGAAAAGGAGAACCTGGGGAAAGACATCCACAGTGCACTGCGGAGAGTTCGGACGCGGCCGAGAATACAGAAGACCACGTGTGAGCAGGTCAGTGTCCACACCAGCAAGATCTGAGAGGTCCTAACTGCGCAGTTCTGGCTGACCCTCCTTGAGGATTTGACCCAACAGGAACGGAAGGTTAAGGCGGTGTTGTAGGCTGCCACCAAAGCACAGGAACACACCCAGCACTCACACCAAGCACGGGGACACACCCAGCACTCACACCAAGCACGGGACACACCCAGCACTCACACCAAGCACGGGACACACCCAGCACTCACACCAAGCACGGGGACACACCCAGCACTCACACCAAGCACGGGGACACACCCAGCACTCACACCAAGCACAGGACACACCCAGCACTCACACCAAGCACAGGGACACACCCCAGCACTCACACCAAGCACGGGACACACCCAGCACTCACACCACGCACAGGGACACACCCAGCACTCACACCAAGCCCTGCAGACTTACAGCCAGGCTAGCCACCAGCAGCCCACGAAGCTAACAGGGCAGAGCCTGCAGACAGCATGACAAAGCACAGATTTCACAGAACAGACCTGTAAGCCAGCAAACATGGCAAACTCTGGCTGGTGGGAGAATCTAATTTCCAGAATTGCCACATCGTATTACTTAAAATGTCCAGTTTTCAACAACAAAAAATCATGGAGCACACACACGCAAACAGAAAATGATGCACAGACGGGAAAAAAGCAGTTAACAGAAACTGCCAGGGAAGTCTCTAACCTGATCTATGAGACAGACTTTAATCAGCAGTTATAAACGTACACGAGGCTGGCGCTGCGGCTCACTAGGCTAATCCTCCACCTTGCAGCACCGGCACACCGGGTTCTAGTACCGGTTGCCCCTCTTCCAGGCCAGCTCTCTGCTGTGGCCAGGGAGTGCAGTGGAGGATGGCCCAGGTACTTGGGCCCTGCACCCCATGGGAGACCAGGAGAAGCACCTGGCTCCTGCCTTCGGATCAGTGCGGTGCGCTAGCCGCAGCAGCCATTGGAGGGTGAACCAACGGCAAAAGGAAGACCTTTCTCTCTGTCTCTCTCTCTCACTGTCCACTCTGCCTGTCAAAAAAAAACAAAACAAAAAAAAAAAAAAAAAAAAAAAACAAAACAAAACAAAAAAAACCACAACCCTACACGAGAACGGCACAGTGAGTAGGCTGCCGCGGTGACGCTGGCAGCCCACACGGAAGCGGCTGCTCTGCTTCTGGTCCGGCTTCCCACCAATGCTCCTGGGAAGGCACAGACGATGGCTGCTGGTTTCAGCCAGGCCCTGGCTGTTACAGTTATTGAGAGTGAACCAGTGGATAGAGTATCTCTCAGATCTTTGTCTCTCCCTCTCTTTTGATGCCCCGTCTTTAAATAAAAAAAATTAAATCTTGGGGCCAGTGTCATGGCTCACTTGGCTAATCCTCTGCCTGCGGTGCCGGCACCCCATATGGGCACCGGGTTCTAGTCCCGGCTGCTCCTCTTCCAGTCCAGCTCTCTGCTGTGGCCCGAGAGGGCAGTAGAGGATGGCCAAGTGCTTGGGCGCCTGCACCCATGTGGGAGACCAGTCAGAAGCACCTGGCTCCTGGCTTCAGATCGGCACAGCACCAGCTGCGGCGGCCATTGGAGGGTGAACCAACAGAAGGAAGACCTTTCTCTCTGTCTCTCACTGTCTAACTCTGCCTGTCAAAATAAATAATAAAAATTAAAACAAAATTTAAATCTTAAAGACAAAGAACTAAAACTACCCTTCAAAAATGCAAGAGAAACTAACACATTGCCAAATAAACAAGAGAGAGTTGGTTACTAGGAGACCTGTCTCCAGCTCTTTCCCCAGTAACTGACATGAATCAGGGACTCAAAGCCACATGAAGAAACAAGAGCCCTCAAGAATAAAGACAGCATAACTGCGCTCTTGCAGGTAACCCTTCTCCTCTGTGACTTTAAAAGACAACTACTTACAGCAGTAAATATCAATTATGAAGATGTGAGCTGTGTGGTAACAGCACAAAGCAGGAACTACAAATGGAGTTTATATAAACTTTCTAGGAACCATTGAAATTAGGTTGGTATTAATCCAAAGTACACTGCCCTAAATTTAAAAAGTTTCTTGTAACCTTCAGGGATTGTAACCACCAAGAAAATAACTTAAAAATAAGAAACTGTGAGATAATTACAATGTCACACGAAACCATATTTATTTAACACAAAAGGGGGCAATTAATGAAAACTGCAGGAACAAAGGACACATGACCGAGAAAACAAAAAGCAAAACAGATGTATATCCTTCCTTATCAATAAAACTAAATGCAAAGGATTAAAGAATCGAAAAGACAGAGATTAGCAGAAAGCATTTATTTTGTAAAAAATGATCCAACTATATGCTGCCCACAAGAGACACAAGTTACATTTAACTACACAAATTAGTTGAAATAAAAAGGTGAAAAAAGACACTACCTTTTTGATTTGAACCACCACAAAGAGGGCTGAAGTGGCTACACTAATATCAGGCTAAAAAAGTTGACAAAGACATCTTATCATGAGCTAAAGAAGACCTGCCAGTTCTAAACATGCCGTCAGCAACGGCCCCAAAACAGAGAGCAAACACTGACGGCACCGAAGGGATAGACACTACGACAACGGTCAACATTCCACGGCCCACAACGGACAGAATCAGACTGACCTGACACTAACAGCTTTCTATGGAAACTTCTGCCCAACAGCAGAAAAAAATTTTCCAGAATAACACTGGGGGTAGGGAGCAAGAGAAGGTAGAATAGCACAGTGTTCAGATGGCAAGTGTGAAGGGGGGATACAAACTCGGGTCTGCGTGTGGACACAGAGGCTGCGCTCTGGTCTGCGTGTGGACACAGAGGCTGCGCTCTGGTCTGCGTGTGGACACAGAGGCTGCGCTCTGTCTGTGTGTGGACACAGAGGCTGCGCTCTGGTCTGCGTGTGGACACAGAGGCTACGCTCTGGTCTGTCATCTGTGTGTGGACACAGAGGCTGTGCTCTGGTGTGTGTGTGGACACAAATGCTATCCGCTGGTCTGTGTGTGTACAGAGGCTGCGCAGGTGTTGTGTACAGGAACATGGAAACTAGGAAAAAATGATTTGAAAACAGCAATTTTAGAACTCCTGATAGAGGGCAAGGGGTGCAAGCCAAACACCAACAGCTGTGGGATAAACCCCGATACACAGCAAGCCCCAAAATGTACTACAAGCGGGAGAAACAGTGGCAACGACGTCACGTACACTGCCACAGCGGACAGGGGACCATCGAACTGCAGTCCCCAGAACCAGCTCCAAGGAGAATGGGCTGGGCAGAGGGAGGGAGAGGCGGTAAGGGCAGCCTCACACTCAGCACCTCTGCATTTCATGTTTACACTGCTTCCTGTTTCGACTCTCCCCTTGCCTGGACTATGAGAAGAATGTTCTGAACGGGGGTGGGGTGGGAAACAGGAGATGAGAGCTCCACCCGGAGCACCGTGCAGGAGACGCCCGAAGGTCTGGGCGCAATCCAGCTCCCCCGCCCACTCGAACACTCGCCTCCATCCACCCCTCAGAGACGTCAGGCCCCAAGCTCAGATCAGCCCCACCAACCTTCGGATCTCGGCGTCCGTGAACCCTTCCACGAGGTCCTTGCGCACACTCCGGGGGCGCCCTCTGCGCTTGGGCTTCTTGTCGTCATCAGAGTCGTCTGTCTCGCTCTCTGAAGCGGAGGACCTCTGGGCCTGCCTCTTAGACTCCGTATCGGAGTCACTGTCGTTCGTCTGAGCCTGCAACGCAGGGAGGCAGGGTCACACTGCGGCAAGCGCCAGGTCCAGGGGGGCGAAGGACGGAGACCAGCCAGCCTCACAATCCAGTGCTCCGAGCCCTCACCACCTCCGACACAACTATCTTCCTTCCTCACACAGGAGGCCGGCGCCACGGAATGAAGGAAAATCTGCCAGGTGTTTTGATAACATCCACTGTAAAACAGGTTCATGCGGACTTCCTTTGGCTTTTATGTCTATTTTCTCACGTGTAAAATGGGGATAAAAGTACCAACGACACAGGGTTGTCAAGATGAAGTGACTCAGTGAGGGTGAACACAGAGAACGGGCTGGGCACGCAGTCGAGAGCTCGCCCATGGCAGCTGGTATCGCCTACACTGACTTTGTTACCTGCATATGTGAGTCTCCTGTCTCCTACAAAGCAGGTAAGAAAACTTGTTCTACCTACAAAAACGCTGTTGCAAAAACCAAGTCACACAGTGGCTGTGATGGTGCCCAATAAGCTGTGGAACCTGTGTACGTTTCCTCAGTATTTGTACCAAGAGCTGTGAGCATTTACAAACAAAAAGAGGTTCCACTATGAAAGTTAAAGGCAGTGGCAATTAGAACCAAATTGCTAGGGTTCCTGATTCTAATCGCAAAGGCAAAATGCCAACTTCTGTCAAGGCCTCATCACACACAGCCATCTTGCAAAGACCAAGTCCAGGGCCTTGCAGGCATGTTCCTCCATTTCCCACGGCATCACTCTGCCCGGGGGGCAAAACCCCACCAGGCCCCTTTCCCTCAGCTAGGCGTGTCCCTGTCTCTCATCGGCTGGGCCCCCTTTCCCTCAGCTAGGCGTGTCCCTGTCTCTCATCGGCTGGGCCCCCTTTCTCTCAGCTAGGCGTGTCCCTGTCTCTCATCGGCTGGGCCCCCTTTCCCTCAGCTAGGCGTGTCCCTGTCTCTCATCGGCTGGGCCCCCTTTCTCTCAGCTAGGCGTGTCCCTGTCTCTCATCGGCTGGGCCCCCTTTCTCTTAGCCTAGGCGTGTCCCTGTCTCTCATCGGCTGGGCCCCCTTTCTCTCAGCTAGGCGTGTCTCTGTCTCTCATCGGCTGGGTCCCCTTTCTCTCAGCTAGGCGTGTCTCTGTCTCTCATCGGCTGGGCCCCCTTTCTCTCAGCTAGGCGTGTCCCTGTCTCTCATCGGCTGGGCCCCCTTTCTCTTAGCCTAGGCGTGTCCCTGTCTCTCATCGGCTGGGCCCCCTTTCTCTTAGCCTAGGTGTGTCCCTGTCTCTCATTGGCTGGGCCCCCTTTCTCTTAGCCTAGGCGTGTCGCTGTCTCTCATCGGCTGGGTCCCCTGTCTCTCAGCTAGGCGTGTCCCTGTCTCTCATCTGCTGGGTCCCCTTTCTCTCAGCTAGGCGTGTCCCTGTCTCTCATTGGCTGGGCCCCCTTTCTCTCAGCTAGGCGTGTCCCTGTCTCTCATCGGCTGGGCCCCCTTTCTCTCAGCTAGGCGTGTCCCTGTCTCTCATCGGCTGGGTCACCTTCTTGGTGGAACTCCGAATGCGAGGCAGCATGTAGATTTCTTCCAGCTCCTTCTGCCGCTCCTCCTCTTCCACTTTCTTCCTCTGCTCCTCGGGAATGATCTCATCCCAGTCCTTGTGAGGACGCTCCTCCAGCTCTTCTTCATCTTCCATCGTTGCAAAGTTGGCAACCTTAAAACAAACGAACCCACCGTCAGACTGCTATCTCCCTCTTTCCAAACTCTGTCTGCTGAAACACCAACTCGCCAGGGCTTTTTCTGACGCGAGACACTGTGAACAGGACTCCTGTGATGTTACAGAACCAGAGAATCACTTTCCCACTCAGCTTCCTTTACTCCACCCAAACCCAATCTGCCAAACCCTCAAGTTCACCAGAAATTTTACCAAAAAGGAAGGAAACAGAAACAAACTAAAGGCTTTAAGATTTATTTAATCTATATTTTACCTAGGAAATTTTAATTTAGACAAAATGTTCAATACCTAATAACAATCCAGGACAATCTTACATTTCTATAATAGTTACTGAGCAGCATTCATTTGAAACAGTGTGTATCATCCATCCAACACGTTAACAAGTTAAGTTAACAAGTTAAGTTACCTAAGGATTTCATATGCTCAAAGGCACACTTTAGTCTCAGGAATAAAAATGAAAGCATAAAATGGAAAAAACTTTAAACAAACTTGAAAAAATATTCTATTACTTTCACATTAAATTCTATTTACCGGCCAGCGCCGCAGCTCACTAGGCTAATCCTTCGCCTTGCGGCCCCAGCACCCCGGGTTCTAGTCCCGGTTGGGGCGCCGGATTCTGTCCCGGTTGCCCCTCTTCCAGGCCAGCTCTCTGCT